AAAGAGATGATTATTTCCTCTCTGGTGTACATACAGTCGTGTACAACACCTCTTTTTCTCGCACTCTTTTCTCTCTCTCTTTTCTCTTTCTCTCTCTCTCTCTACCTCTATCTCTCTCTCTCTCTCCCTCTCTCTCTCTCTCTCTCCCTCTCTCTCTTTCTCTCTCTCTCTTTCTGTCTCTGTCTCTCTCTTTTCCGCACGTTTGCGTGTGACATTGTACTGCTGTGGCGTTCGTTGCTGGCGCAGGTGTTGTAGCGTCCGTTGTCAAGCTGAAACAGGCCTTGCGATTCTCGGGATCTGGGGCAGGAGCAGGAGGAGGAGATGCTCTTGAGACATTTCCCGCCCCCACCGTGGCTTTCACTTCTGTTCGGCCCTTTGCGGCTGGAAATATGAAGGTTATCTATCCGTTAGCGGATGCACATCGTGGTGGAGCTGCTGCTGCTGCCCCTGCCCCTGCCCCTGCCGATGTGCCGGTTCCATGTGCAGGCGTAGCGCCTGCTGCTGCGGCGGGGGGCCCCCCCCCGCCAGACGCTCCGGAAGCGCTGCCTCGTCAAGGGGAGCCACAGGGCATTACCAGCATAGCAGGCACAACGCCTCCACCGCAAATAGTTGCGAGGCATCAGCAAGTGCGGCAGCAGCAGCTGCCACTGCCACCCTCCTTGCTGCAGCATCAGCGCCAGCCTGGGCCTCCCATGCTGCCACACCCCCACGCGCCGACGCACTCGCAGGTTCTGCACCCTCTGCTGCTGCAACAGCAGCCTGCGCCACTCTTTCTTCCCGCTTACTTGCCGCCGCTCCCAGGCTTGCTGCCGCGCGCCAGTGCTGCTGCTGCTGCTGCTGCTGCCGGGGGGCCCCCTCGCCCGCTGCCGCAGCAGCATTTTGTTGCGCAGCCTCCACGGACAGGCGGCAGAGGTGGGCCCCGCAAACTGCTGCCCCACCGCGTGCCGCAGCGGCCTCCCCCGCAGAGGATGATGCAGCAGCGCACCCCCGACGGCAACGCGCCGTGGCACTGATGGCGGGAGGCAGGCAGGCAGGCAGGCAGCCCGTGTAGGAACGTACAGGGAAGGCGGGCAGTGAATGCATGCCTCGTCAGTGGCACTCTTCACGAGGTAGCTAGCTAGGAAGAAGGGGACTGCCTCTGCATTGTCGGTTGGCACTCTGCGAAAACGGTCCCCAAGCTGCGTCGCAGACGGGAGGCCACCTTTGGCTCTCCTTGGAAAGGCCTTCTACGTCGATCGCCAGCCCTCGCAGCCTTACAGATGGCGCGCAAACACGCCACGCAATGCACACACAAACTACAAGAGACTCCCTGACGCGTAACAGCTAGCTAGTTCCTATTAGTGGAGTCGAATTCCCCCACGCACGCGCTTTGGTACGCTGCCTTTCTGCAACTCTAGCGAGCTAGCTGCACGCGGAGCCGAGCCGCACTCGCTCAGGCCGCGCCCGCCCCCTCCCCCCGCGCTGTGTTCAAGAAGCAGTGACAGTGGGCAGTGCGTGCCTTTATAGATGGAAGCTGCATCGCTTAAGACACCAACAAGGCTAGCGCCTGAAACCATAGCCACCGCACCATCCCTTTGAAGGGGTGCTGCGGCCGATGCTGCTGCTGCGGTTCCGCTGGTCGTTGCAGCGCATGCAGCAACTGGGGCAGGAGCCGCAGCACCATACGCACAGCCATCACCAGGAGCGGCTTCAGCAGCTGCCGCTTTGCCTCCAGTGCTGCCGCGGCGACTGCTGCAGTGAGACCGCAGCCTTCTTGCTCTAAGAGCTGCAATTCTTGGTGCAACTGCCGCTGCAGCTCCTCCTCCGCAGCCGCGAGAGCTCTCTTAAAGCAGGGGCTGGCGAACAGCTCTAGCTGCTTGCCTGCTGCCCCTGCTGCGGTTCGTGCACTGTCGCGCAACATCTGCAGAGCCAGCTGCAACGCGCTGCAAGCAGCCGCGGAGAGAGGCCCTCCTCCCACAGGAACTAAATGTGCTGTTTTGTCGGTGAAGAGGGTGTGGGCATGTCGCTGCAGCTGCTGCAGCAGCAGTACGTACTGCGGCAGCAGTGCTGCAGCAGCAGCAGTCAGCAAGTATGACTGGTGCCGCTTTCGTTCTTGCCGCAATACGCCGCTACGCCTCTGCTGCTGCTGCTTTGTCTGTTGCCACCACACCGTCTCGGCATCCCACTGAGCCGCTGCTCCTGCCGCAGAGCAATTGGCAGCCTGCTGCAGCAGGTGCCTCGCTTTTGAAGCAAACGCTTCTGCGGCGGCTGCTGCTTTCGCGGTAAGAGGAGCAGCGGAGAACGTGTTCTCGCAAGTCTCTTGCTTCCCTATGGCGGCGTGAGGCCCCTTACTTGACAGGATGTGCTGAGGCAGCTGCTCCTTTTCCTGCCGCTCGTGCAGCTCTGCCACGAAGCAGACAGCGCCCCACAGTTCGACTGCAGCGCAGCGCACCCGCAGCAGCGTAGACAGGCGGCCTGTGCTGTATGGACACCTGAACTGCGTTGGACGCGCACTCTGGCGACAGACAGCTGCAGCGGCAGAAAAGGTTTAAAAACGAGAAACCCTACCTGCAGGGGGTTCCCTGAATATTCGAACTGCGTCAAAGAACTGCGACTGCCGCAGCAGCAACAGCGGCCCTCCCGCTGCAATAACCTGCAACAGATGAGGCTGTTTCTGAGTGAGCCTTTGCCGCCTTGTGTGCTGCACTTGTGCTGCAGCTGACACTGCAGCAGCAATTGCGGCAGCAGCACTCGCAGCAGCAAGGGCCACAGCGGGTGGCAGCTTGGATGGGCGCTTGCAAAAGGGTTCGGCAGTGCCTGTGACTGCCCCCTGCTTCTTTTGCGAAACGCTTAGCGTCAAGCTCTGCACACTTTCCCTCCTGTGTTGCTGCGGCTCTCGCCGCCTCCACGGTGTCAAGGAAACACCAAACTGCAGAGGCGGCAAACCAGCGGGCAGCTGTGCAGCCGCTGCAGGCAGCAGCAACGAGCGCGAAGCCTCACGATATAAACAGATGCCTCCCAGCAGCAGAAAGTGCGGCAGGAATAACAGCGCATGACGCCAATGCTGCCGCCGCTTTCGCCGCTGCATTGTCTGCTACGTGGCCTTCATGGTAGCAGAGAGGGCTTCGCGGTGTCTGCCCACTTTGCTGCTTGAGCAAAAGCCGCAAGAGTGCTCCTCCCTCTTTTGCCTCGCCTTCCCCTACCACACAAGCAGACTCCCCAGCTGCAGCGGTGCATGGATGTCGCTCCCTTGCGCCTTGGCTGTAGCAGCCGACGCTGCAAGGCACGTTTGGTGCGCAAGAGGCAATGCTGCAAGCGAGGGGAGATGCTGGGTCGGAAACTGCCGGGAGAGGGGGGAAGTCTACGAGTCTGCAGCACCGAAGGCTGATCTGGTGGAAGCGGGTGTTGCCCCTCCAGCTGAGCCTGCTGTGTTCCGCATATACATGCACGTCTGGTGTGTGCTTTCTGCGGATGTATTATCGCATGCAAGGAGGTTTGCTTCTGCTAAAACGCGGCAGATGCCGCAGGTCGAGGCGTGAAACAGCGGCAGCCGCCGACAAAGTGGCAGCCACAGAGCACTGGGAAGGCGGACCCCATGGAGGGATGTAGCAGCACAAATGAAGAAAGCAGAGAGGAAATCCGACAAGCGTATCTGAAAGACATGCAGGAGAGCTCCAACAACGTGTCTATCGAGCCGCTACTGCTCGCGCTGCGGCTGCCGCCGCTGCTGTCTTACCGGAGATGCAGGTCACGCGTGCGGCTCTCGTTGCAGTGCCTGCTGCTGAAGCTCTCCCTATTTCCGTGAAACTTCTAAAATTTGAAGCGCTCCGCCGTTGTAGCTTCCTCTGGTTTTGCTGCTGCTGCCGGCGTTGGCAGCAGCACTAGCAGCCGAGCAGTCCGCGATCCCCAGTACCTCTGCAGCAGCAGCAAAGCTTCCAGCATGCTGCAGGGGTCGACGCTCCTAGCGCGGCTGCAGCGCATTGTAGGGTGTAACTGCAGCAGTTGTTGCGACAGCAGCTGCGAGAGGGAGGTGCAGCGAGAGGCCTCTTTGCCCCCTTCCGATTCTGTATGGCCTGTGAGGCTGCAACAAGCCGCAGGCGGGGTGCTGCTTGCCTTCATCCTTCCCCTCGCAGCGCCGGTGTTATGCGTCTTTGCCGTGCTGCCAGGGTTGCTGCTGCTGCTCCTGCCGCTCCTCTTGCTGCTGCTGCTGCTCCCCGACCCCGCGGTCGATACGGAGATTCTGGCAGCAGTTGAAGCGTGGAGGAGACGCTACCAAGAGCAGCAGCACGAGCTGCAGCAACAGGAGGAACTGAATCGCGAGCAACCCGTGCATTTGGTGCTGCTGGTGGTAGGAGATTTCGGGCGTAGCCCGCGCATGGTACAGCATGCGATAGCCGCCCTGCAGCAGCAGCAGCAGCAAGAGCAGCTGCAGCAACAAGAGCAGCTGCAGCAACAAGAGCAGCTGCAGCAGCAAGAGCATGAGGAGCCTTCTTATTACCAGTCCCACGAAGAGCGACAGACACTACTGACTCCCATAGTCCATGTGCTGGCCTTCCACGAGTCGCCTCTTCCCTCTTGTCTTGTGGCAGCGGCAGAGCAGCAGCAGCTGCTGCTGCATGCTCTGCAGCAGCCTTCCATCGAGGGCAGCAGACAGCGGCTTTGCAGCACGCTGCTGGGGCACTGCTGCTTCCTGTGCGTGAAGCTGTTTCAGCTGTCGCTCCTGCTGCTGGCGCAGCTTGTACGGCTGTTGGTGTCTATACACCGCATAACCCGACAGGTGTACGGCGGGCAGCAGGGGAAGAAGCAGCGTCAGCGACCACGTGTGCTTCTGCTGATGCAGAATCCCCCAGGCTTCCCCGCAATGCCACTTGCCACGCTTTGCTGCAAGCTTGCGGGAGTACGTCTCATAGTGGACTGGCACAATTACACGCACTCCTTGCTGCTGCTACCAGCACAGGAGGAGATAGCAAAAGTGCAGCCGAAGGCGGAAACGCTGAGGGTCAAGCAGCTGCAAGACGGCGATGCTGAAGACTTTTCCCGCTGGCTTGTCTGCAGAGCCGCTGCTGCAGGCGCAGCAGCGGCTCAAAAGAAAGCGCATGCTGCAGTGACTGCCGCCGCATCGGCTATGGGAGCAGCACGGCAGGCCCTGAAGCGCGCAACACGGCTAGCAGCAGCGGCTGCAGAATTCCAGATCGGTCGGTTCGCGGATGGAGCTTTCTGTGTCTCCATGCGCATGCAGCAGCAGCTGCGGCAGCAGCACATTGCTGCCGAGCTGCTGTACGACCAACCCGCCGAGCAACTGCAGCTGCTGCCCCTCCTGCAGAGGCACCGCATTGCAGCCGCCTACTTCTCAGAAGCAGCAGTAAAAACAACAGGGGAAGCAAAAGGCTCTGCATCGTCAACAGTGGTGACAGACGAGATGGCTTCCGCAGCACCCACTGCGGTGTTCGAGGGGTATCCAGAGTCTCTGCAGCAGCAGCAGCTGCTGCAGACCACATCGGCAGTAATGCCTTCGTTGCTCGAGCTGCTGGTGCGCGAAACTCCAGAGCTGCTTCAGCAGCAACAGCCCGTAGGACACCTCCAACTGCAGCAGCAGCTGCGGCTGCCGTTTTGTTGTGCTGCGTCTCCGCTGCTCGGGCTGCTGCTGCAGCAGCAGCAGCAGCAGCAGCAGCTTCGCGCGCGGCGGCTCAAGAAGAGCAAAGTCGTAAAGGTTTATACCGAGTTAACGCCGACCACAAAATTGGTGGGCCTGTGCTGCTAGGCATGCAAGCAGCAACAGCGCGTGTAGCTGCAGCAACGGCAGCAGGAGCGTCAGGAGCAGCAGCTGTTGATGCTTGCGTGCTGGCTAGCAGCAAGACTTAGTGCTAAGGCAGGTGCAGCAACCGAAGCCTCGGAGGGAAAACTGTGGGCTGTCGCACTTCGCCTTGCTGCCTTTTCTGCGATGCAGGTGATGTACAGCTGCGTAGGCGCTGGCTTGTCGGATACTGCTGGTACCTGCAGCTCCAGCAGGAGCAGCACGAGCGAGCTCAGCTGCGCAGCCAGCGGCGCTGATGCGAGCAGCTGCCGCATTACCACCACTAGCACTAGCACTAGCACAAGCACAAGCACAAGCGGGAGCAACAGCAAAAATTGTCGTTGCTTCATGCAGATCTCGGTGCGGAAAAAGCGGCCCGCCGTGCTGCTCACCAGCAGTAGTTACACTGCAGATGAGGACTTGCTGCTGCTGTTGCGGGCTCTCCAGCTGTACGATGTTGCGGTGCAGCAGCAGCAGCAGCAGCGGCAAGTTTGGCATCTGCCCGACCTGCTGCTGGTGGTAACGGGGCGAGGCACTAACAAGCAGCAGTGGATTGCGGCAGCTCGGGAGGCGCGACTTCGACACACGTCCATCTGCTGCCTCTTCGCTTCTCCTGAGGATTATTTCAGGTATCTTCGCCGCGCACGAGAGCGTAAACCTCGAGCTTGAATTTTCTCTTGTGTGTGCTGTCGATGCGCTGGAGCGGTGGGTGGTTTCTTGAGGCCTTTGATGCAAAAAGCAGCCTCTCAAGCCTTAGGCCGCTTCCCGTCCGCACAGCCACCGACTTTACGATTGAAGGTTTGCGTGCCTGCGCAGAGTGGTGGCTTCGGCAGACTTAGGAATATGTCTGCACCGTAGCAGCAGCAGCAGCGATCTCCCGATGAAGGCACAAGACATGAAAGGCGCAGGGCTTCCCATTCTTGCCCTTTCCTTTGCCGCCTTGCATGAAGTATCGCCTTACCCTAGACGCACCCTAAGCCTCTCTCTCTGGTGCTAGCGCTTCGCATATAGATACATATATATATGTATATCCATTGTAGTGGCGCTTACCTACCTGCCTGCCTTCGGTCACCCTACGCAACAGACAGCGTGCACTGCGTATGCCAACCACTGGCCTCGTAGTGTAGGAGCCTTCCACCAGGATTCCTCTCGATTCCACACTCTGAGCAAAGACAAGTTGCCTGTAGTAGCGCATCCTGCTGCATGGACCCTTCTGCATAGCCTTTTTCGCGTTTCCCAGGGTGTGCATGCATCATCTGTTTACCTAAATATGTGCCTTTCTCTCCACATATATGTGTCTACGGTTATTCGTGGATATGCGGTTGGGGGCCAGCCGAGGTGATTCGGTGCTTCCTTCGATTCGTGGGTTTCGCTGCGCGAAATCTGGGATCTGCTCGCAGTCTTGTGTGTTTCCAGATTCTTCCAGAGTGGCAACAGTTCTCAACTGCGGAGGACCTGGCCAGCATGTGAGAAATCATTTAGACCATTGGCGAGACCGCAGTGTACCGACAAGAAGATCGTGTGCTAACCCGTTGACGCTGGACCGCGTTGCGCGCGTGTGCTGTGTATGTCTGGCGTTCATCAAAGAAAATGCGGCTTTGCACGCATGTGCATATGCTTATGGCGTGCTTAGGCTTGCCTGCTTGTTGCGAGGCTTTCCGGAAGGACTGGACGCGTGCGTTGCTGCTCGCCAGCACCTGCTGAAGCAGCCTTCTGTGCTGCTTCAGCAGCGTTGCAGCGGCGCGCTGCTGCAGTGTCTTCGGCACTGTGGCAACCCACTTCGACACTGCAGCAGTAGCACCAACGGCAGCAGCAACGGCAGCAGCAGCCCGCGAAGCGATACCAGCACCGTGTACATGACCGCCTGCAGCAACACCGTCATCCCCTACGTGTCGTGCAGCAGCAGCAGCAACGCGAGTGACGCAGAAGACGGCTTGGGCAACCAGCCGCAAACACAGGCGCAAACGGCATTAGGCGATGCTGCGAATTCGGGCTCCTTGTTGTTCGATTTGCGCGTTCTTGCAGAGCGTGCAAGAGGCAGCGGCAGCGGGAGCACCAACGAAGTCAGCATGGATGCAAGGGACTATACGTCCTTCCCGGAGGAATGGCGGCGTGTTGCCTTGCCCATGTTGCAGAGGCTGTTGTACTAGGATTTACGCGTGTCGGTCTGCATGCGCCCTTTCCCGTCTAGAGTTTTCGACCGTAGGAAGAACTGTTTATTCTGTTAGCTTGCAGCGGCTGTAGGCCACAAGGGCACTGGTGGCTGTAGCCTCTTAGCTAGTGCGGTGTAGCGCGCTCCCGTTTGCAACCCTCTGCCAATCGTGCAACCGCTGCAGCATGACCGGCATAAGCAGCTAACGACGACACGGTGTTTGCTGCACCTGCAGCACCCGGAAGCCACGTTGCTTTTAAGTGGCTAGGTTTCTCATCCCCACGTCTCTCCGGCGTCTTTCCACCGATGACACCGCATCATCCCCCTCGGCGGTCCCATTAGCCGCAGCGACGCACTCTCCTAAGAGATGCGTCTCGCATTCCAGTGAGCGATGCATCTCGCTATCCAGCGAGCGATGCGTCTCACAATCCAGTGAGCGGTGCATCTCGCTATCCAGTGAAACTGGTTTTTTTCACCTCCTTGCAGCACCATACGTAACGCTCCTGTAAAGGAAATCGGTGCTCTACTCTCCGGCAGAGCCTAGGGGCTAACTGGATTGAGCAGCTGCGGCGGCATAGACACAGATATTTGGCGGAGCACCACTTTTCCTAGTAGATAGTAGATGCAGATTACAAGGGGTATCTCCAGATCTTTGAGAAATGCCTCGACTCAGGTGCAGCCCGAGCGAGTGGGCGCTGGACGGACGTTGCCAGAAAGTACTTCCTTGTACAGCTGCGGTGGCTCTAGGGCTCTAACGAGGCAAACTCTACCTAGACGGTTGTGGTAACAACACCGAGTGGGTTGTGCAATCCATATCTACGTGGAAATGTACTCTGGCTTGTAGGGGAGATGGCATTTTGGGCGTCTCGCTACGAATGAGAGCGTTTGTGCGCCAATTTCTACGTGTCACTGCACAGAACTTCATTTTACAAAGTGCAGTTGCATAAACAGAGTTCCTCGGGTCCTTCCAATGGGAGGGGGCTCTGTGAGGTAAGAGTGGCAAAAAGATGGAAAAACCCATATGGAGGGAACATCGACGCACCTGCATGAGGTCTTGGCAAGCCTTCATGAGAGACCCTTCCTGGCGAACGGCTTCAGGAAAGTGTACAGCTCTTTTTGTATTATACGTAGAAAGACGCGTAGTTTTAAAGGCATATGACAGCAATGTAGAATTTTGAAGTGTCTTCACAGCAAAGCCCTTTCCTTGCTCTCCTTCCACCAGCTTTAGGGGGCTCAACTACGGGTGAACACTGTCTTCTCCACCAGTTATAGAGAATGAACATTCAAGTAGGAATTCCCCTGTGGTTTTGAGTTCCGATGTAGGTAAATCTTGTTCATTGAAGGGTACTGATAGCTCAGTACAAATAGGCGCAATGCTGTGTTACGTATGCACCAGATGCTCTGTACAATTAGCTGCGGATGCTCAGAGTGCTTAGATGGTGCAGCTAGCCACTCCCCAGATGTCCATGTGCAAAATTATGAGGCCTGCGACGGGGAAGCAGAGAGCGTTTTATTAGGTTTCTGTAAACTTCCGTTTGATGTGTACTAAATCTGGATCTACGTGTTGCTCACGGAGACCTCATGCGGTTTTACAGTGTTGGCATCGCATTTCGACGTGGCGTTTCTCCACACATACACTTCTGTGAATGCACGGGGGTGTCAAGCTTTCCTACAAATGCCTCTTTCAACAGGTCATTTAATAGTTCAGTAATCGCAGTACCTTTTGCAAAGGTCGAAAAACCCCCTAGCGATGGAACTTGATGGTGGCACAACTCCTCTTAGGGCGGCATGTGCGGGGCTGCAAGCTAATGTGCGTGCAGTAGCTCCAGAGGTTGTGGAAGAGTGTGCTTTCTGAGCCGCCAAAATGGTCGCGTATGCTTTGACGAGGTCATGCAGACCCAAGTATGACGGCTGTAATAATGGGCAAGTGTTTGAAGACTTTATGAGCCGGCTGGATATGAATCTCGCTTTGTCTTCCCCAGATGGAGCCAAACGCGTTCTCTCGCGGCACGCATGTTAGTGATACAAGCATCTTAAAGGTGGCTGCTTTGATGCAAAGAAAGCCGTCGGCTTGCAAGGACTGATACAGTTCCAGCCGTCATATAAACCCTGAATCATTGGTTTATGCAGAGATCAACTCAACAGGAGGCCTTGAGAGAATTCAGCAGGAGTGTCTGTCGATAAGCCTGTCTATCGAAAAGTATGAATCCTTGGTTTGAAAAGGCGACTACGCATTCTATCAGGTTTATCCACATCGGCACATCAGGTTATCGCACGGTAGTCAGCGAGTACGGGCCAAGACCGTCCGGTGTGGGGGCCCACAAGTGGACGACTTGAGGTTTCAGGAACGCATTAGTGCGAATCGTGCGTCTTTGTAGTAGAAGGAGGGGCCAACCCTAAATTTAAGACTTATGGGTGTAGAGATGTGTCGATTGCCCCTAACCTACAGCTTGAGGTGAAAGAAAAAGACAGCCATGGGTAGCTTGCGCGCCTTAGCAGGCAGACACCCCCCAGCAACGTTCCACCGTTTATTGCAAAAAATTGCATCATCTGTTTAGAAAATGCAAATGCGTGGAACCCCCCAAGAGACCTTGAACAACGGGAGTGCAGCCAGCAGAAGGAGGGTCCTTGGCTAGGCGAGGTCCAGTAGGGAAACAAACCCTCCCACTCACGCCGGGGCACGGTGAAGGGGGCTACAGCCGATAGAGCTACCCACAGGTTGATTCGGCAGTGATACAAACCCAAATTAGCAGCCGAGGACTGCCAACATTAGTTGACACTGGATGTGAAGTCAACCTCTTCCGCAAGAAAACAGTGCAGTCCCTAGGACTTTGGTCTGCTCACAGGAGGCAGAATGTAAGGATAGACAAGGCTTCGGCGGCCAAATGCCACTGCAAATGTGAATCGGGATTTATCAGCATGGTCCTTGCTTTTCACGCGGGACCCGTACACCATGGCGTCCTCATAGGCTTAGAAGAGTGACCCCATCGAAGGTGCTCACGCGTCCACAGTGTCGTGCTCTGGAGGCTACTCTAATAGCAAGCGCCAAGAACCCATTTTGGTCCCTTTAACATCGCTCTCTGCATCTATGGTGAGTGGGCTAAAGTCAGTGCCTCAACAAGCTGAGGCAGAGTCTCTCTGTAGGCGGCTCACCAGGCCAGTAAGGGTGTTCTGAACCGTCGTAGTGACTCTGCCGCTGATTTCCTAGTCAGAAAATTTGATTGAATGTTAAGCAGAAAAGCATTTGAAATAAGGGAAACATCAGATAGTAGTTATGGACTGGCTGAATAATGGCGAGCTCTCAGAAGACTGTTCAGATGCTGGTCGTTTAGCGTACCGTATTAAGCTAATACCCGGGTCAGCCTCTAGCTATGTTTCGCGATATGGGAGGCCCCGAAACAAGGGAAGAAGATTGGGCTGCTAATCGATAATTTGTTGAGAAAGCGCCAAAGTGCAGGAAGGGACCTGGGCTTTTGGGCAAAACCCGGTGATGATGAAAAATGACAGGTGGCTGGTGTGTTGGCTTTAAGTCATATAACTATGTCGCTGTGAAGCAAGAGCTTCCGCTCTCTGGAATCGGCGAAAGGCTTCACAATTTACTTGTTCTAAAACTCATCTCGACATTTGACTTCACAGATGCTTCCTGAAAAAACCGCTTTCGTCCGAATGGAAGGCACAATACGGCGTTCCACACCAGTACACTCGAGTGCACCTGTAGGCATTTCGGACTGGCTAATGCTTTAGCTGAACCAGAGCCGTCAAGTGGATCAGGATTTGTACAAACCCTTCAGGGAGGGCTGTGTACTTGTTGTAGAGCAGCCACATCACCTACACCGCGCGCCTCAGCTGTTGTACGCACGCAAGTAGTGGTGTATAAAGGCGAGAAATGCTCGTTTTCCACAATGCCACTTATGCTTTTAAGATGCCGTGTCTCAGCTGAAGGAAATGACGCAGAGCTGGCAACAATCAGGAAATCAAGGAGTAGCCGTTTCCCTTGAGCATTCGCAAGGACATAGCGAAGTACCATGGGCTTGCAATTAACGAACCACTGTTTCTCGACTCATCTACTTAAGGAAATGGAGTCTAGGACCTAGAACGAAGTGGCTGATGCCGCAGCAACTATACCTATTGCCTGCCTTACAACTCCTCCGGTTGTCGCGCTTCATATTGTCAGCCACCTAATCCGACCAAGTGATGCGATGACGAATCAATGGGTGCTATTCTCTTCTTACAGGCTACGGGATTTCCAACTAAAACAAATTATTTCTTGTTATTTTCATTACTTTACCCTAACCGAGCAACGGTATGTAGTGTGAAAATGAATTGCTTGTGGTGTGGTTAGGCATGAAAAATACTTGCACTTTTTGTATGGGTGTCGTTGTACTTTCAGGACAAACTATTAGTCTTTAGTACACCTAACAACCAGTTTTCACGACGCTTGCAATCCTAGAGTTGTTGGCTAGCTTAGGAGTCTCCTGTACTACGAATTCATAGTTACGCACATAAAAAAGCAAACTAACGGGGTCGCCGACACACTACTGCGACGCCGCAGTGATTCGCTGCTGTTTCCTGCACCCCCTATAATCCGTGATGCTCCACAGAGTCGATACGATTTGTGCGTCACGTATTCATTTGAGACCCATGCATCCATGACCATTGCCAAAGTCCAGTATGGCAATGGATGAAACATTGCCGTTTCGACGCTGACCTGCTGTGATTCAAAGACTGTGGGGGCTTCACCGTTTATACACAACGACTTAGTACTATAGTGCCATTTGCACAAAGCACATGATCATGCTCTTTCGGTCCATGGTGGGATTCACGCTAGAATTGGAAACCTTTCGCAGTCTGCCTTGTGGCCCTAGATGCTTCACACGGCAAAAGAGTGAGCACTACCATGGCCAGATTGAGAGAAGTTGGAGCCAGGTAATTATCATAGCTCAAGTTGTGTACAAGGGCTTCTGGCTTGGATAATGCTTGGATTTCTCTTACTATGAACCGCATTGGTGGACTGCCGGAAGTCAAGGGTTAGAATAGTCCCTACAGCAAAAAGGTCCTTTCTTCTCTTGTACTGGTCCCGTCAGGGCTCAGGGGATTGCGGAGTTCTTTTCATCAAATGAGTGAAAGCTTCACGTATTGTCAGGAGCCTCGAAATAGGGAAGAATCTGAATTTTGCTCGTACATTCTAGCGTGCCTCTATGACCTGCCTTAACATTGGCCATAACACGACCACTGCAAACCACCCTGAGGCAGATGGTCCCGTAGCGCGCCCAGCACGCTTTCTTCAGTATTTTCATCTCTTTGCTCAGTCACATCCAGCTACTGAGTGAGTGGCTTTACAGTGCGACAGCACATTCACGCCTGGCTCTCCCGCATCCAGGACCTGCATTGAGGATGCCCTCTTCAATCCTGGCGTGCACCTAGTGGTCCGGGAACGCCAGTCACTCGTTGCATCAGGAGGCCTGAAGAGTACACCTCGCCAGACTACACGAATGTATGCGAAAAACGTAAGAAAGGCAAGCAAGGAGCTTTGGTAAGCGGTGGCCGGCTGTGCGGTTCAAGCCGCAACATTTGGTCCTGGTGGATCGACAGGCTTTCTGAGGTGCAAGCAACGGTGGCTGAGCGAGGAAATTTGCGGCTAGGTGGTTGGGACCATTTGCCGTCGTCTTACAAATCACTGCTTTTTCTTACTTTGTCGATTTTCATGTCGCGGTTCTTAACGTAGTCCGCTTTCATTTTGGTTTGGTTCCTCGTTTGTCGCTGGTTCGTGTTTCTTTCCGTTCATATCACTTTGGTGGCTAATTTAGACTTTCGTCTTTCTCATCCGCGCTGAATTTCACTTCCGCTTGCCTGGGAAGTAGCGATAGGGCTGGAACTCTTCCACTGTCATGCACGCATGTGGCCTCCACAGAGCATATGGGCGTGTGCTTGAAATCTGGGTGAAAGCTGTAGTGAACTAATCTACAATTAAACACTCTCTACTAGACTAGTGGTAAGGAATGAAAGTTTGACGAATTGGTGTGGTGGTTTGTGTATGTTATATATCGCAGAGTATGGCTAACTCGATACGAGAAACGCAATGTTGTGGGAGTATGTGTTAAACGCTTTGGGACTATCTGTGAATGACCCGATTCTTAAAACATTGCAGCTACTCGCACCCTTGCTGTTCCTCTGCCCTCATGTAGGGAACTTTGAGGAGCCAGGAGAGGCTGGATAAAAATTCGACCACACTCAGTAACATTTTATAAAATCTGTATTGAATCTACAGTTAAGTGCTTCCTACGGAGATCTTCGATGCGGCGTTCACCATTTATTCCAAAGGTCCTCAACATGAGTGAAAAGAGGGGCCAGCATGGGCTTGAGGGAAGGGCTCGACCCTCTGAGCGCTCCGAGCATCCACACACGCTGCCCCAGATGTCGGATTCGCGTGCAGGCCTGCACTCCAGGGTAGCGAGCGAGCGCATCCTCAGGTCTTCGTAGGAGGAGGCGTAACTCCAGACTCAGTACAAACTTGATTTAAAGTAACTGAGGGTTTCTCGGAGGCAGTTCACACATTCCCTTCCGTACGCTCTTATGATTTTGAGCACGAGGAGAGAGAAACAGGTACTGTGCTTGTAGCTGCACCCTGTATGCAATGCGACCTTCCACACGCTGTTCGCCATTGCTACTAGAGCACAAAGCAACAAGCACTCTATCAAGCAAGCCGTGTTCTGCAATAAATCGGATAGACCAACCAATGAATTAATTCTATGGCAATTCTTGGTGAATATAACTCATGTTGTAGAAAGTTGTTAAATGCAGCATAGCCCGCTACAAGGGGTCAGGTATTCTAAATACGCAGCAGCTAAACTTTCAAAGAGTTAAACAAAAGACAGTCAACACGCAAACATATCATAATTGAATATCACCAATGAATTAGACACAGCCAACATATTGCTTGTGGCCCTTAAGAGGGTGCCATATACGTGCTCCACAAGTCGTCCTAACCAAGTGCCCAGGACCCTGTAGTCTTCGGCAAAAGAGAAGCGAAACCTTTCCTGGGACCTGCATGCAACTCTTTCGTTTTATCAGTTTGGCTGGTTTGTGTATTTTACCCGGAATCCCTCATGAAGGTCCAACCAAGTGTGCTTTTCACACACAACTCATGCTGCGGGCATGGAAGCACTAAAACCCGTAGTTATAAGCTCGCAGAGGTAGACCTCTATTGACCTCTTGCCATAAAGTGCTAAGGCGACCTTCAGAAGTTCGGTGTTAGGGCCAAGACTATGCAGATGAATGCTTGGGGTGCCTGGGGGCCTGGGCTTGCATGCGTTGCTTCAGCGAAGAGCCATGCCAAAGCCTTAGCCAAAAGTAGAACGTATTACAGAAATCACTAGGGTTTGGGGTTTAGTGCCAGGCAATAAGGCTTAGACCCAGGCTTCATGGCTAAGGTTTAGGGATTAGCGGTTAAATGGAGGAGAAGTGGATGTCCGGGTGTACAGACACCCGAACCTTCAGCCGACACCCCAGCACCAATTGCCAATTGCGGCTACAACAACAGCAGCAGTACCGGCAGGATCCTAGCCAACAGCAACTGTATCCCCCACAGAAGCTCGTTGTAGATTTGGAAACGCAGCAACAGTGTGGGAAGCGAAGTTACCCAGAAGTGCTTTTGGATTCGCCGAAGAAGAGACCTGCGGCCGCAGCTAGGGCTCACACCACATCGCATGCGTTTGCGGCAACAAAAGAAGGGGAAGCAGAGGCAACGACCCCCGTAGGGGGGGCTGTCACGCCGGTAGCAGCTGGGGAAACCCATCTTGTGTGTGGCAAAGAAATCCTCGCAAGTGAAGGCACCCTTGATGTTACTGCCCCAGCCGGCGCTACCTCTGCCGAAGCTGACGCTCCATGTGTCGTTGCAACGGGCCATCAGGTAGCAGCAGCAACAGCTGCTGCCGTCGCAGGGGCAGCGGCAGCAGGAGTTTTACAGGCACCTACATTGGAAGCTGAAGCTGCAAATCGTGCAGCTTTACATGGGCTTGCGACGGGGGAGATTCCAGAGTCAGTCATTGCAGCAGCGCCGCCTGCAGTTGACGCTTTCGTCGCTACTGCTTCTGTAATGGGGGACAACTGCCTTGGGCTGTATCTACGAGCAGAAGCACCAGCTGGGGCAGATATAGCGGGACGCTTCGATTCAGCAGCAGATGCATCAGTTGTGGGGCGTGCAGCAGATGCGTCATATGTAGCGGGAGGAGTGTCCGGAGGTTCAGATGCAGCAGCGCTTGCAGATTCAGGAACTCATGGAGTTGCTCTACGTGCCGCAGCAACAGCAACAGCAAACTCAGCAGAAGCTCATGGAGTGAAAGATGAAGCGGATGAGGTGGAGTGTGGAGAGGTCACGATTGCAGCAGCGGACGCAGCCGGTGCAGCGGCAAGAACTCTGAGAGCAGTGGACGCCGATGCTGCCTGCTTGCACGCGAAGGAGGCTGCGCTTCCTGGATCAGCACCGGATGTGGCAGCGGAAGAGAATAAAACTCCCGTGGAAGTAATTGAGCTTGGAAGCAGTGATGTAAGGACAGCAGTCTAAGCACTGCTGACTGCTGGCTCCTACATGCGGCACGCTGGAATTGTGGCGTGATCTCAAGTTATCAAGAGGGGCTTGCCCGTTGGTGTGTGCGCTCAGGATGAATGGGTGGATCTTTGGCAGCGCCCTCGGCGAAGAGCAGCAGCAGCGGCTGCTGCGGCTCTCACGGCTCTTGCTGAAGCAGAAGAAGACGGCCTCAGTGGAGCATCGCCGGGAGCTGCATCGTCTGATGCTGCCCCGTATCACCCCCATGTGTCTCTCACGAAGCAGCGAGATCTTCTTGGAGGCACAGCACCCAGAAGGATCGCCATCTGCACCGAGCGCAGCATTGTTGATGCTCATGGAACGCAGCGTCTGCCTGTAAACCTCTCCCGATTGCCTTTATTCATGAGCGAACGTGAGCCCTCAGAGTCTTAAACTTGGCACGAACAGAAACGCCTGTATCTGAAGCCTCCCCTGCGTCCATCCTGAATTGTGTGTGTGAGCCTGGCGTTGGATGGTCTTTCTAAGGCGACAGAAGCGAAGCTGCCGCCTTCATAACGGACTCCCTTCAGCAGCACTCCCTTGCTACGCCGCTGCTCTCCTCGTAGGCTGTACAAGCACACAAACCCCCACAACGTGCCGTGTATTCTATTCATACACCGTGACAGCGGGGGGTGGGGGGGAGAACGAGCCTGCATCCTGAGGAAGGAAGGAGGAGTCCTTTCTCATTCGCAAGAGTTGGTGGGGCCCAGGGTGCTGCTGAGGCTGAGGGATATTTAAGCGTCGAGACGTAGGGGTGGCTTTTTTTGCGGTTTTGCAGGGAATCTATGGCGCTGCTGCGTGTAAACCGGCAGCTGAATGACGAGGTCATCAACTTCTTTTTCTCGCTTTTGCAGGTGCGCCTTTCCCCTACACACACAGCATGGGGGCCTATTTCTTTTTCGTCTGTGCAAACTTGTTTTAAACTAGGTTTTCTTGGCCGCTTGTCAGGGGCCTCCCTCTGCAGATCGAGCGTTTAGCGTGTGGGTTGCTGTGTGCACTGTAGAGGCGCAATGACGAAGCCTTGGCGAGAGGTGACGCGTAAGTACAGTGGGCAAAGCGCTCTGGGGACCCCTACCGTCACGCCTCCCCAGATGGCGGTCGTGTCTCTATCCAATGCCTGTGACCGCACACACTATTTAAAGTCTGCGCGCTCTTTGTTGAGCATGCGTACAGAGTTCCTAAATGTCACTTTTTCAATTCTTTTTTCGATGAACGCCTCAAAGTTGCGTCTTATGAAGGCGTAAGGGTGAGGGAGCTAGATCCTAGACGCGTGGCCCTACTTACGGTACTCTCTACAGCAAACTCTGACGGCACGCCCCCTATCTACCTATTAGTGCCATCATGCAAAGCGTTGGACGCTGGCGATAGAGCTGTTAGCGTAATTTGCTCCGGATATTTCTGCCCGCAACGGATACACGAGGGGGGCTGAGGTGTGTGTGCTTATAGAGGTGGACGAAGCGTGTGGACTTGTTTGCGCACGACTTGCTGCTGCTGCCTGTACACCACAAAGAGCAGCAGCACTGGGCTCTTGGTGTAGTTGACTTCCGGTAAGCCCTCTCGCAGGCCAGCCCTCCTGACGCAGCACCCCGAATTCTGACGCACTTTCCCTCTTCACGAGCACATAGCTTGGGGTGTCTGGAATCTTGCAGTCGGGCTGCCCCCCGTTCTTCTAGTCCTAGCTGTGCATCGTAATACTGCATGCTAATACTAGCTTTCTCTGCAAGGCACAGCCCTCCCGAGCGCCGAAAAACGCCAGTTGCCGAAGGATTCTGGGTAAAATCGTGCCCTAGATTTGAAAAATGCAAGGGTTAGAACGTGTGGCTTTTTGCGCATTTTAGGCCTGGATGTCGCCGCCTCCGGATTTACGACTCGGGTTTTGCGGGGGCTCTCTGGCGAGACTGGTTCGAGCGCATGGGGGCGTATCTTGAGGAAGAGCACAAGCACAAGAGAGGCAGGTGGTATTTTCCTGACGGTGATTGTGTGGTCGGCCACGGTAAAGTTGGCCGTTGCTATGTCTGCTACTGGAAGGTTGCGTAGAGGAGCTGCTCTCGCGCTCGCCTTCTGCTATCCTTGTTGCCACTTCTGCAGCCGGATATGGCTGCAGCAGCTGCTGCTAGATATTGGCTCAAGACACAGCTTTTTGCGCCATCGCTTCGGGTTCTTGCTGCTGCATGTGTTTGTGCGGGTGTCAGGAGGACCTCTTACTGAAGCCTTTCGCGTCAACAGACGCAGACATGCGGAGGTATGTGTGAAGGCTGCGTTCATTCAGGCGCTGGGAACGGCAAGCCTAGTGTATATCCCTCAAGGGTGTCTGGTGTTTCTGTGTGTGCCGCCCTCTAGAGGCCTGAAACTCTGTATGTGTGCGGCAAACGATGCTTTTTCAAACCCTCACACCTACACCCAAATCAAAGCGCATGCGCGAGGGCTGCGTTCGCGCAGCGGGACTCACCCCAACAACAGACCCTCGATGATTGCGGAGTCTTTGTTTGCTTGATGGCTGAGGCACTAAGCGACCAGCGAGAATTCGATTTCCCCGCAACCAAGACCAAAGAGTGTAGACTTATGCTTGTAAGCCCCATGAGGTCTACGGCAAGCCCACCAGTGTGCTCTTTAAACAAAAGGATCCCACTAGCAGTGAATTCCCCTAGGCACCTTTCTGCGTTGTTGCTGCCAGCGTCGCCTGCTGAACCCTAAGCAGCGGCTGAAGCCAGATAGATGTAGGAGCGAAGCTAAGGTGTTTCCTGCACCTCAGGTTCAAAATTTTGCATGCTGGGGCGCAACTTAAAAGCATTCTTGCGCGCTTGATCCCCGGGAATCTCGCATTTCCAGCCCCTAAAAATGAAGCGTTCCTCAAAGCCGCGATCGTTTGTTGTTGCCGTCCCTCTCTCTGCAGGCGTTTTTCGTGTTGAAGGAGTTACAACGCTTGCGGCACCAGGGAGCACAACCTGGTCCATAAAGCCCAACAATCAAGGGCATGGAAAGGGTCATCTTTCCAAGCCTTCTGGATGCATCTGAAAGCCGTCAGAAGTCACCGTAGGCAAAGCTGCTCGTCGTGCAGTAGCGTCGCCGGACACGTAAAACCCTACACCACGTGCAGAAAGCGCAACAGGCCTACGAAGAGCAGTATAGATGCTTTACTTGCTGCGTGGGCAGTTTGTCATTAAGGCCTTTAAGTAACAGGTGAAAAGCAGCTCAGCAGTGAATCCTTCTGTGCTCTCATGAACAAGATGCTGCGGGGGTCTGGAGCAGCGCGGGGCCTAGAGGGGTGGGTGACGCGGGTTGCTACAACCATAACCACGTACAGTTTTGGCGCTGGTCGCACTGCAGCAGAACACAGAGCACGCCGCAGAGAGCGTGCATAAGCGAAAGCGTGTGAGATTTGAAGAATAGGCATGTGCAGTGGCAAACTCGCTCAAAAATTACGGGTATCTGAAGAACGGCTTAGGGCCTCCGATGGCCTGCATGCTGCAAGGATGCATAGAGGCCCGGTGTACATGTGTTTGCATGTCTGCTGCGCGCGTGTCTTTGGTCAACCACCAGACTACACCCCTTGCCTCACGCCTACCTTTGGCCTCTGGCGGCAAAGTCGGTTCATGTCGCTTGTCTGGTTGGTGGAAGGCTGCAAGAGGCCTGTTTGCACGGCAAGGAAACGCACACCCTGGGCCCTCACCACTCGCTGCTGCACGGAAGGCTCCCCATCCGAAAGTATAGATAAAGCTTAGGATGCTCACCGTTTTCTGTTGCCCTCCTCAAAGCCTCCCGGTCCTGCTGGCACCCCGAGCGGCTCTGCGACACAGACCCCCAAACCGCAATACCCTCCCCAAAGCGGGTTGTTTCGTAGACAACGGGAAGAAAGAATAGCCATTGGGTGTAGAAAGGGTCCCGCGGAGAGCGAGCACATATTTAAAAAAAAAAAACACACACACACAAACAAGCATACTATAACACAAACACACACACAAACAAACACAAACACACAAACACAATCACACAAACACATACATACATACACATACACACAAACACAAACAGGCGGGTATCACTGGGTGAGCATGGGTCGTTCGGTAGAAAGACGTACCCCCGCCACGGCTTTTGCCGACCTTAGGATGCGTTGGAGGTGCGCCTTCACCCCTCCAGCCTGCGAAAACCCCAGACCGTAACCTATACGGCCTGAATGCATCCATCGATAATTTGCCGTGGAACCGTTAAACCCGCTTGGCAAGAAAAGGTCTCGGGTGGTGCGAAGGGTCATCAGTCAATAGGCTGCTTCTAGAGTGTCCACGCAAGACAGCCAGCCATACCTGTGATCCTGGGATCGTACTTGAGCGTGAGTTTCAGACAGTTTACGACTTGGCCTGCTTTGTTCGGGAGATTGAAGAGGAACAAGTCGTTTACGTGCGGCAAAATCCTCAAGTCGAACTGGAACAGGCTCTGGGGAATCCGCAAGAAATTCACGGGCTCCTGAAAAACAAGCACCCCACAGACCCTTAGCAGAAAGAAGTAGGTGTGTTTCATGTGCCTAGAATTCTAGGATGAACAACTGGGCAATCAATACTTTCAAGGAAGGCCTAAACACACTCTAAAATGCCTCAGCCTCCCCCCTTCACCCCCCGCCCTCCCTCCTCTAAAGGAGATGGTGTCTCGATTGCTTGCGGCAGCGGCAAGGCCTCCTCTACAAGCACCGGGAATGCATGAGGGTTGAGGGTCAGGGTTCCAGGTGTTGCATGCACACGCGCCACGCTCGCCATTTCATGGCTAAGCGGCACTTTTAGGTTTGGAGGCTGGTGTTACTGACCCGCTGGGGTGCCTGCGTCCTCTCGAGACTGAGGGTGTGAAACTGGAGGGTCTGTAGCAACAAGGACAACTTTTCTTCTTCCTGCGGCGTATCACACGTCCTCAGCCCTCAACCGTGACAAGGCTTTTGTTGCCGCAAAGGCGTAGCATCCACGCGCGCAAGCGTCCACCCTCGATACTCAACAACCGATGCTGCACGTGTGAGAGCCGTACAATGTGTTCGTGAGGATGGATCATGGGCTGCCAGTTGCCATACAACGCCAAGTCCAGTGGCGTCTGCAAACAAACCGTAGACCGTAGACACACGCGCGCGTGATCTCCGGTACGGGAAATGAATCTTCCTTGCTGAGCGGCTCTTAGAAACTTGTCGAAAGACTCCGATATTCTCAGGGCATGCAGTTTAGGGCCTGAAGCATGGTTTGAGGATGTTTGTTACATCTTGCTGCGGAGCTCTCGTGATTTGGCAGAAGGTGGCGAGCGAGCCAAAGTCGATGCCAGGGAAGGGCAGCGCGAGGCCTAAGCCTTCAGCGACAGTGGGGGAAGCCCACAAAACGCGAAGTCGCCCTTGGTTGTAGCAAATGGCTTTTGCCGCTTTCGCACACGAGAACAGATAGTGGTGGAGTCTCAGCTGAAACAACGGAGACGAGAATGGTATGAAGTCCGGGCACCTGCAACATCCCCAAATCGTGAAATGCCAGTCTTCTAACCGCCACAGCGCATTAGCTCTGCCACGAAATGCTGTCACCTAGAGCCTTGCAGTGCGCGCGTAGCGCTGCCCGTTTGCGCCTTCTGACTGTGGACCGGAGAGCTTTCTGTCTGAGGTTTCAAGGGTTGGCACAGAGCGTGGCAAGCATAGAATACCGATTGGGAGTTATGGCGTACCCCTGAAATGCGAGGCCTGGAAGCACCGCAATAAACTCCTGCACTTTCGAAGGGAACAAGTCGCTCTTCAGCTGGAGAGATGAAACGCCAAACAAGACGGTGACGCCCTCAGCCCCCAGCGTTGAGGCTCGTTGAAGGACCTCCTCCTGAGGATAATTATGCATACATCACAAACGCTGGCAGGCGGATAATGCTGCTAACCTCCAAAGCGCAGCAGCGGCACGAGACAAGCCTGCAAAGGCTTTGTCCCGGCAGGAAGACTCCCATAGTGTCAGCGAGGGCACATACGGTAGGGGTCAAGGCTTGCCTTTGCATTCTCCGCAGTCAGCGTCACTGTCACGGTGAGCTTAGAATTCAAACCCTCCGACCGCAACTGCTGCAGCAGGCAGCCCGCGAACGTGAGATTCTCATCGCCGAGAAGCAAGACGGACTGAGGGGCAAAACAACACGTCTCAAACCATAAAGCTCCAGCTGTTATGCCCCTGCCGCTCTTCGTATGCCACACCAGCCAGATCTCAATGAGGGAATAGCAGAAAGTCGCAACAAGGCCCAAAGGCGCGTGGCTTCATAGACTGAGGGGGTGCACTTGTGGACGGGTGTTGCAAGCCAAACTCCGCTTGGAGAACTGAGGCAAGACTGACCATTTTCTCGGCTTCTCTGAACTAGAGGACTAGGCTGCTCCTTCTACTGTTATGAATCGGCTGGGGTTGGGGGGCTAGCAGCGCGTGCGGGTGCTTGTGCTGCTGCCGATACAGCTGGTGCAGCTGGCGAAATCCCCGTGCTGCTGCAGCTATAGCAAGGGGCTAAAAAAGCCGCGACGCTACGCAGGGAGAGGTGTCCTCTCCCAGCACTCAGGACGCCATGCTGAAAGATTTGCACGACCAACAGAGAAGACAGGCTATACTGCTTGGAAGGCCACTCCCTTCTTCACCATCCGACGTGCTTCACGGTACTATGCAAAGCAATCATTTAGGGCTTAAAGAGTTGGTTGTCCTGTGGGCGCTGCTAAGCCAGGCTGAAAGCATCGGGGATTAGGGCCCCTGCAAGCGGAAACACGGGGGCCCCCTGGACTGCATGCACGGAGTAGTGAGTCGTCCCACGCGAATGGCATAGAGCCTTAGACCTTACTTTCCATAGAGAGTTGTCTTGGAAACCAGAGCTCTTGTGCGTATGCCGGAGCTTCAAGGTTTCAACTCGCTGTGCAAACCCCCCTTTGGCTTGTGGGCCACTAGGGGGACCAGGGCCCCCTGTTAAACGGGCATGAGGGGCCTCCGCACTCAGTCGCTATAATAGCAGCTGCTGCACTGTACAGCAGCTGTATTGGCGGCAGGACGAGCTGCAAATACACCTGTGCTTATTGGGCACTAGAATACAACTAGTAGCAGTTACAAAGGCAGCGGATGTAGCCCAAGCTGCTGCACCCGCGTCCACCTGGTCATGACACAGCTTAGAAAGCCGGTAGCACCAATAGCAGCAGCCGCCGTTGCTGCTTCTAGCTCATGTCTTGCTGCCTTTGGGGGGGGCTCTTATGCGGCAGCAGCAGTTGCAGTACCGTTGTCGCAGGCTCGCTTGCTGTCCATACACTCCACCCTCAGCAGTAGCACCAGCAGCAGCAGTTGCAGTGGCGGTGGCCCCTGTATCGCGGCTCTGCTTACTCGCCGTAGACTTTTTAGCAGCAGCAGGCACGCCGGCAAGTTGAGCAACAATGGCCTGCACACACAAGGCACCAGCTCGGGCAGAAAAACCAGCAGGACGGATATCTGCCTTAACAGCAAACCTCAGAGAGACTCGCCGCTGCAGCAGCCTGTCGCATATGAAACCCTTGCAGGGACCCCGTGGTGAGCTTTCAGGTTTTTTTGGCGGATTCAGCTTTCGGGCCTGTGGATCATCTAGTGCATGTGCAGCCTTCCGAGTCAGCTAGAGTAGAGAATATCGATTCTTCGGCTTCAGACGCTGCCATAGCGGCTCTGCCTCTGTACTTGCTGCAGGATGTCTGCTGGGCGTCTCTGCCGTGTGATGGAGGCAACGGCCGCACGGGGCCCCTATGACCTCAACACGTGGATCCGGTTTGTCGCTAGGGTCTGTTATTCCTCACTACGTGTTGCTATTGCAGTTGCGATGTCTGCTGTGGCTCTTGCTGATGCATGTGCAACTGCGGCCAGTGCTGCTACCCTGCCTACTGCCGGCATTGCTGCTGGTTGTACACAACTCGGACACTGATTTAGGGCTTGGCGTAGGCTCCAAAGCGAGAGAGGAATTTAAACCTTTCCCCCTCTCTCTGGTATCATGGATTCCCTGCATTCTTGCATGCATGTGTTCGCGTAGCCTGAGAATGAGTCACCCCGTGTATTTTGTGAGAGGGTTTTGCGCTCTGGGGGTTTTATGGCTGTACAGGCTGAAATGGTGCTGCCCTCAATGTCGCTTTCGCATTTGGCTCGTATTGCGTCTTCCTGCCTCCGCGTGCGCTGGAGGCCGGCAGCCTTTTTCGCTGTCTGCTTCAAAAGGAACAAAGATCTTGAGGCGCTAGTGCAGCGCGCTGAGGCAAGAGATGTCTGCGGTGAGGAATTAGGGCTAGTATTTACTGCCGTGTCTTCTTCGCATCTGGGGAGTATGTTTATCTGGGTCAGAGACTCTAGAAGTTTGCAGTGGAAAGGTTTCGGCACCTTGGCTGGTAGGGTTTGTAGGCGGAGGCGTCCCTAGGCTGTAGGCTTCAGAGCTTTAGAATGTGGGGCTTGTGTGTGGCTTCGCCTTCAGCGGTTCTGCAAGCGCTTGCCGGCTTAGAGTGTCTGGACACCCGCATCTTTAGCCTCCTTGCTGACCGTCTGGCCGTAAGTGACCTCCCCTACCCATCGGCACCCCACGCCTGCATTTTGCAGCCTCCGCATTCCCGTAACACGCACCACCCACCCATCCCTCATTTGCAGAGCTTATCGGTAGGGAGGGTGCCAATCAAGGGTCCGGGCGATGCGGTGTACGTACAGGAGCCCGACGTCATCAACAACTGTCGCTTCTTCCAGTTGGCGCTCGTGCGCAACCAACCCTCCTCGTTTTTTTACTATGCGTGAAGCCCTAGCAGCCACCGAAGCCACCAGATGGGGGTTGTAGGGTTTAGAGTTATGCTGAAGCCACCAGATGGGGGTTGTAGGGTTTAGAGTTATGTGAGGCTGTGTGCTTGTAGGCCGTGAACGCGCTTGCGGCTGGACGAGTTCTGAACCCTCGGCTCCTCTCCGCCGCGGGCTGTAGACTTGCAACTGCGTGCGATTCCTCGGAGGCAAACCCTCAAAGTACGTGCAAGACCGCAGTTGCATGGCCCTTGGCTCTGCAGCATGAGGCCCCTCTCCCACTGCTTCCACCTCTCGTTCTTCAGCTCTTCTTTTCCTTCGGTGCTTCAGGCTTTGCCCTGTTCCTAAATGCACTGGCACGTTTCCATGAGGAGGAAATGGCCCTGCGCAGGCGGAACCTACAGGAACCCGCGTCGCTTTCGGATTTGGATACGATTCGCGCGTCTCTGTAGGACGGCCCCTCTGGACTGTAGTCTGCTTGAGATAATTCTGACATCACCAAGCTAGGGCGGTTTGGCAGTTTAGGCTTGTTGGTGCCTGCCATGTGCGGTTTCAGAGACAAATGCATCGTCAGCACTTTGGGGTGGGCAATCCAAGATCAGGAGCACCCTCTGCAAGAGCAGCAGCAAGAGCAGCCAGAACATCAGCAGCATTGCGACTCAACAGAAGCAAAGCCCATGGAGCACGAAGAAAAGTGCCCGCAGCCACGGGAGTCTCACGGACGTCAGCCCCCTACGTTGCTCTTGCAACAAGTAGATGCGCGAGGCTGCTGCTTAGCCCTTGCTGCCTTGTCTCGTCTGCAGCACCGTGATGGATTTGCTGTTCTTGTGGCAGCTGCTGCAACAGCCACTGCGAGCCAGGTTCCCGTACATCTCGCAAAGCTGACCGCCCAACAGACTGCAACACTTCTCAACAGCATCTCTAAGCTCCTTCAGGTGTCTCCTTCTCTCTCCAGCGAACTGCTGAACCATGTATGCCGACAATGAAGGGGCTGAGACCCATAGAGAGAGAGATGCCGACGCACATCATACGTTGCGCGCATAGAATGCAGAGCAACAGAGGCTAGGCCGTAAATAAATGTATTTTGGAGTGCCTATATCCCCTCCATCCACACAGTGTTAGGGTCTAGGGCTGGTGGTGCTGAGAGTCTGTGGGTGCAACTTTGTGCGCAGTTGCGACCCCGCGTGAAGCACTTGGACCCGATTGGATGCGTTAGCGCGCTAAATGCCATCCGCCATCTACGCTTGTCCGGTACGATTTAAGCCCCTCTTAGCTCCAACATGGAGCTGTGCAAAAGCTACACACCCTAAGAAATACAGGCAACGCGTGAGAGCTGTACAGGGCTGCCGTGCAAGTCCGAACAGATTCTTCGCTATGTGTAGAAACTGGAAGTGCCAATTAGTTGTGAACAATCCCGAAAGCTTTTAGGGCTCTGTGCACAGGGGACGACCCTCTTACGGAGCAACTGGAAACACAAGCAGCCTCCCAAGTCCACCAATGCGACTGGCATTCGCTTCATGCAGTATGCCGGAACCCCCAAGCTTTAATCATGCCAAACCCTTTACAGCGCTATCTGTTCGCCGGAACCCTCACACATCGGCAAGCGGATCGATTCATCTTCTGATTTGGTACTTTTGGGATTTGTGCATCTGTGTGTGTGTGTATGTGTGTGTGTATGCGTTCCCCAGCTGGCGTCAATTGCACGGTGTGGGAAATTTCCGCGGCTGCTGCAGCTGCTACTCCAGGAGCAGCAGAAGCAGCGACACCAGCAGCAGGGCAAGCCATCTCCCGCATTGGAAAGATTCCGTAAGTCGAGCAGTTGAATCTCCCAGTTGGCAGAAGAAGGGGTTGGGTTTGCTTGGAGGCCTGAAGGCTCTCCCTGTGTAAGGTTTGCTCTGCGTCTACAGAACAGCTGCTCGAAGGCAGCAAAAGTAATCCAGACGGCATCAACATTACAGCAAACGAAGCATAACGGCAACAGCGTAGGTACCTGCGGCAGTGGGAATCACACCCTGCCTATTGGAGTGGGGGTCGAGCGACTTGACTGCTGCTACAGTGTGCAGCTTCAGTCTGCCGTCCCCCCTACCCTCTAGTCAAAAAGACGCAGGAGAATTGGGCAGCTGACTCCTCCAGAGAAAAACCACACACTCGCACACAGCATGCGGGGAGTAGGAAGCAGCGTATTAGGGCGTAAAGTACGGATGCTAGAGTAAATGGGGAGACACATACAGGACATGGAAATACAGAGCCACTCGATCCCGTTGTGGCTAATCCGTTGTAGGTGCGAGCGTCCCTCTCACTGTTTCCCCATGTCCTTCAGTGGGTAATGGGTGTTCCTGTAGCCCAAGTGGGGGTTAGAAGGTGGCCTCATTCGGGGATACCATCTGTTAAAACTGGAACGATACAGAGAAGATTGCGCTCTACTCTCCATAGCCGTGACGCTTCTTTCAGTCTCCTTTTGCGTGCACTCCTAAGGGTCTTAATGCCCCTCTTTTTCACAGATGCTCCCTACACCGCTAACTCAGTCGGCAAGGCAAAGAAACTCTACTCCTAGGCGTCTGTTTCTAGTCTTGCTTGGCCAGCTCATGGATACCATTAAAAGTACAGACACCGGAATAGCAAAATCGAAAGTCTCTCCAGCACCCAAGGGCACAGGGCTTAAAGGTTGAACGCCTTGGCAATATGCTCTGTATCTCCCAAGTCCCAGATAACCACCTGAGACCCCCCAAACCCAAATATACCTCTCTCCTCGCTTGCCCTACAGCTGAATAGGGGCCCCTGCAGCAGGCACACACAATGCCAAAGCCAAAATGCTCGCTCAGGGAAAGGGATGCAGAGACTCTCATCAGGCGCTGGATATTAGGTGAACACGCTGCAGGGGCGGCCGAGGCAGCGACACATGAAATAGCACCGAGGTGGGCACAAGCGAGCAGACAGACAAGCACACACAAGAGACGCACATGCAAAGCCCCAAAAGAAGCGTGACTGCGAAAAGGGACAAAGAGGGCCTGGACTGCAAACTCTCGAGAGGGTAGCAAGGGTGCAAACACGAGAAGCAGATGCACGATCCGTAGCGACGCAGACCACGCCGATGGAAGGCAACTTTTTTTTTGGTGCATCAGCAAACGACGACTACGACCGCAGCAGCAGAACAGGAGGAGGAGCATGAACCTTACCACTTTGAGGTCCTTCTCGTGGATTAGGACGGGGCCTTGTGTGTCCGTGTTTACTTGCCGAAGATCCCAAACCCTCGCGGTTTCATCTAAGCCACAGCTAACAAGTAAGTTCGGCAGCTCCTGCTGCTGCTGCAGTGATGTCGCTGCTGCTGTATGCGCAGCCACACGCCACAGACGCGGCGCTGCCGCTGCTTTGGCAGACGATACAGCTGCCGCAGAGGGAGGGCCAGCCGAAGCACGCCGCAAATCCAGACATTCCATAGAGCCGTCCTCGGCACTCACCTGCACAAACGGCACCGTGTCTTACGCGTGTGTTCCAAACTCTGGCCCTTGATGGACTTCGCATGCACTCAAGAAGAAGGAACTTGCTCACACTTGTGCTCGCAGTGGCGTACCTACCCATCGGCTTCCCTCCTACTCTCCCGACCCAGCCCTAAAGCAAACCCATCTATCAAGCCCCAGTGCCTTCATCCAAACTGCCTGCCTGCCTGCCTGCCCCAACTACTTACAAAACACGTGGCAAGGTTCGACTGGTTCCAGCAACAGGCCTCCGCATCAGCGCTCAGAGGCGCGGTCACCTGAAGGAATGGAAAGTGGTGAGCTGCGATGCAGTCAGTCTTTTCATCCAGAGAGGCAGCCCTACAGCTCCCGTAGAGGCCACGGATGCACGAACCAATACACATACATGGAAAGAAGACTCAACGAACTACAGAGCGGCAAGCAAAATCTGCGAAACAGGTTCTCCTTAACTCAGGTGCGTGCTGAGCTTTCATGACATGCAGACTCCCCACTACCACGGTGCCTCATCACCGGCCGCTCTACCCCAACAAGAACCCCGAGCTCTTACCGCAACATCGGGCTGTCTGACATCCAGGAGGCGAATTGTTCGATCAAAGGACGCTGTGGCCAGCAGCGAAGCCTCTGAAGGGTGCCATAACGCCACTTGCACCTACAGACACACAGGCCACGAATCACATAGCACAAAACGTACTTAGACGCAAACCACATGTGTTTCGCGAGACGTATTCTTGCAGACAAAACCTCACGGCACACTTGATACGCCTATATATGGAGGGCGAGAGGCGATGGAATTTCTTGCAAAGCACCACACAAGCGTATGCCTGACCCCAGTGCGAAAGGCACGCACCTTGTTGGTGTGATGCTTGTACGTAGCGAGACAGCTGCCGGTAGTCAGATCCCAAACCTTCGCGGTTTCGTCTGCACTGGCGCTCGCAAGTGCCTCTCTGTGTAAACCAACCAACAGCAAATTGCATGCGACGCTGCATTGCCGCAGGTGCGAGAAGTGCAAAGACCTGTATCCTACTTCCACAACGCACCAGGACCGCAAACGAGGCGGGAAAACGCCACGCCAAAACGTTGAAGATCTCACCCTCTACATTCCAACCCACAAGAAACCCTAACCCCAGCTTCCTGTCCTCTACGTACTGCTTCAAAGGAGACACGCAGAGCGACATGATAGGGCCCTCATGGGCATTAGGCGAGGTGATCTGTCTGTCCGCCTTCTTCGACTTCCTTTTCCTACCGCTCTCCCTTTGTGGCTGCTGCTGCAAGCCAAGTGTATACACAGGTTCTAGAGAGTCGAGAATGTCCAAGTCCCATATCTGAATGAGCGGTTCAAAGCTTCCAACCGCGACCAAATTGCGGTTCTGAGCTCCTGGCATCATCCCGAGCCACTCCAAACAGAGAGGGAAGCCCCCACACTGCGTACAGGCACAAGTATGCATACGACCATACGCAGGCACGTCATCTGTACACCGTGCATACACACGCACACACACTCTGCACATCCTAAATCTAAGTGCATCGCAGCCACGAAGACGAGACGCGCTTTGCCGGCAGCGAAGGCTAGCGCAGCTGCCACCCCTCGCAAGAGGCCAAGCTTCAAGCCCGATACATTCTTCGGCGTTCCATGCGCATGAACAAGTGGGTTGGACTAGTTCCTGTGAAGTTGCTTGTACCATGAGGTCGTGGTGGACATAAAGGCTGCCCCGCTGTACGTCGTGTATGTACACCTCTAAGCTACTGAAATCACTTTCTGTTGAGGCAGCAACCAGGACTAAATCGGAATCCAGAATGATATTTGCTTCATCCTCCTCGGCCTCATCTGCTGCGGAGAGACGCGCAGCACCCTCCCCCAGAGCAGCGGCACCGTCCGAGGCAAACACCCCAAAGACGCCTTCCAACATGCCGTCTGCAACATGCCACAAGCCGACAAGGACAAACCGCATAATTATCCCCATTGCTTAGCTGCAGGGGCTCTGCACAACTGGAAAGAACGCCAGCGGTTTTACAAACGCTAAATCAAATGTGGTTTAGAGCTGTGATATCGGCGTCCCATTAAGCCTTCAGAAACCTTGTTGATGCTCATTAAGGTTTTGCTCCTCGTCGAGGAAGCAAGCTAGAACGCGGTCTCTTCAAGTCTACAACTAGAGGCGAACAGACATTTTTCGCGCATGCTATTTTAAATGGCGTACCGTCGTCACTTTCATCGTCTTCCTGCATTTCGCTCTCCGAATCTTCAGCTTCACTTTCTTCATCCTCCGCAACTGCCTGCTGGCGCAGGAGTTTCTGTTGCTTTTTCCTCTGTTCCTTCTTACTGCTGCTTTTACTGGCTTCCTCAGACTGCTGCTGCAACAGCTCAGAGACCTCTTGGTCTTCCATGATGCAGCTCGTTGGAAACTGTGCGCTGCGGCCGCGCGGAACCCAGCAGACAGAACTCACCATTACCCTATCCGCCATCCTCAAAACTAGACTAGAGCCTCCAACCACACCCCGACACCGTCCAAAACCAGAGATGTCAGCTAGAGAGCGACGCTTGAGTTGGCTCTTTCCACAGACGACGATTAAAGAGCCCGCAAAGCTCAAGACCAAACCTGGATTCCGAATTTGAATTTCCGAGAAATCGATTCATCCGTATCGGACGATGCCGCATGCGCGCTGGGGGCCCTACCCCTGCAGGCTCAGCACTATATCCAACTATTTTAAAAAAATTGTTGCTTATCTGATGCCTATCCACTCCATTGTTAAATGCAAAATCAAACTGCGGACCGACGGAGATCTTGTGCACAAGGTCGTACAAGGCCCAGTATGGAGCTCTGTGGGGCGGCAACTCAAGTGCGACGCTGTACGTGCAAACACACACGAGTACAAACACGTATACCTGCTACTCCAACAGGTTAACCTGCCTTTTTGTGGCTAATATTCAGGAAGATACGCACAAGCTCGCAAAAATTCAAAAGCCTTCATGCCCAACCCCCCGCTTGAGTGAGCTGCTGCTGCTCTTCCTTCAATGTTCCAGATTATCTGTGACAATGGCATACCGACTTCTTCGGATGTAATTCTCGACAGTGTGAATTCGTTTGTTTCCGGCTCTGCGGCTGCATGGACTATTTTCTCTCGGTGCTCCCAGGGGCTTAACCCACTCCAACTACACCCTGCAGGAACTGACCTACGACCACAAGCCAATCCAGAGTGTCATTTTCTTATTCATTAGTCATGAGCTACGACAAGCGCAGACCAAATCACCCTCGTTTCAAGCTATAAAAGCGAACGCTGTTTGCGTGTGCTTAATATGTTTCTGTGTGCAACTGGGCGTGGACGAATGCCCGAAATCCTCAAAGCCTGTGGCTGTGCGCGCCCTAGCTCCTCTCTCTTCTGACCGAAACATGTAGGATGATGATGCCCAGGAGAGAGGGGTATTCTTTGGGTGTTTGAGCGGGGGTTAGGGGGGTGTGGGGATTGCTGACGCTATATTCACTATTGTATCGGATTGAACGCTAAATGAGTTTCCCTACGCAGATAAGAAGAGCTTCGCACTGCTTTCAATGGCAGCAAATTCAGAGTTGTCATGCTACGCAGTCGGGATGCCTCCCCTTCCCCATATACATCTTGTGAACTCGCCAACTAGGATCTTCAGAGAAAGGGATGTAATGCCACACTCCGTACAGGCAGAACACAAATTTATTGAGTATTTAACCAAGTTCCCACCTCTTTATGCCGCCGATCCTCAGAGCTGCAACACGCGGAGAGAGGGCCAGCTAGTGTGTGCGTAGCTGCGTTCTCTTTGGAGTCCAATTTCTTAGAGCCAGTGGCACATCACACCTGATGCACACGCAAAGTACTTATTCTTATCGTGATGAGCAACATCTGATATGCGGAAACACAAAGCGCCATAAGCTTAAGCCATTGGCATGTGCACTGTAATAGTATTGGGTGCAAATTCTTGACGTCCTCAGAGAGCACGGCAAGGCCCTTGAACTAGGCTGTCGTCCTCACCTTTCCCCTAGCACACATCTCATGGAGTGAAGCGTGTGAAGAGATGACGAAGCTCGGACTTCGAAGGGAACAATTCATAACTCTCCCTCGATATTAAGTAAGATCTGGGGACCAAAATACTTGCTATGGATGCACTAGAAGCAGTACTACAGTGGTACTACAGACGCTTTCTTAACCACACATTGCCATGTTCTGGCGAAACAGATGAACATATCAAGAGACCGCAGGATGTAGGAGACTGAGGTACATTTGAACTCTTCCGTCTACGCTACTTATACTGAACTAGAAGTCAGTGAGAATCGATGAGTTTGCTCTTGTCCGGATACCTCTTTTATTGCAGAGTACTCTCAGCTTAACACAGCAAGACGCCATTGTGTATGTGTGTGCGCTCGATGCTACGCGCAACTAGTTTGCTAGTGCGCTAAATGTTTAGCGGGTCTAGCTCCGCTCACCCTAGCTGTGCTTCTCCTTTGATAACGGGTGTCTTAGGGGCATGGACAGAAGAGGGGAGTTCTTTTGAAATTCATTCACTAAGTCTTCCCTATGTTTGTACCAAGTCTGGAAATAAGTGTCTTCCTACGGAGAATTCAGATGGAGCTTTTCAGCTAGTAGCATTGCATGGTTAGATGTAGCTATGTCTCACTCATCCACTGTGTCTGGTTATGGGGGGATATCCGGTTTCCGTATCAGAGTTGCCCGTTTTCGATCAAGTTACTTTGTAAGTCCAATCTGATGCTCTTTGGCAACATCCTGGCTAAGTTCTACAAAAGTGGAAGAAGGCAGGAGCACAACGCCCATGGGGGTGGTAAGGCCAAAAAGCTGGTCTGAGAGTACTAGCTCCACATCTCGTAGAAAGGCGTGGTTTCCAACCAGTGAACTGTTTACTGGCACGCGTCTTAGGCTATTCGACCAGAAAAGTAAGACGGCTTAAAAGATGGGCAACCATTCGGTGGTTCATCAGCCGAATAAAGACATAACTCAAGTTGTATCCCGCAGGTAAAGGAAAACGCGTACTCTTGCAGTATGTTTTTTTTTAAAACACTTTACTGATGGCTCTGCTAATGCAAAATGCATCGTCATCCTGGTACATTTCAAGCCTCCACTCAAGCCCTCATTGATTTATGCGGAAATCAGCTCATGCGCATACTTTAGGAGAAGTGAGGACGTCGAAGTTGAGAAATCTACCAGCTTATTGGTGTGTAAAAGCCACGGAGCTTTGGCTTACAAAAAGCTACAACGCAGATCGGCAGTCAGTTTATCTGTAATTTTTATCAGGTCTACCGGATGTGTCATGGGTAGGTGTTCCCAGGGTGGACAGCGACTCAGCGATTAAATATCGGAAGGTTGGGGCGTCTGGAAAACGATGGACTGCAGGCGCACTAGAATACCAAAAACAAGTAGCAATAAGGCGTAGCCTCCCCCCTTGCACAACAGCAAGGACAAAGCGAACTTTCCTAGCCTTGCATTTCATTACCGAAATTCCCTTCCTCAGTTTGCTCCGATCGTTGTTCCTTGAATCGATGTACATGAGGAAACCTATTGTATGTCTTGAGTTTAAAAAGTTATTAATATCGCAACAAATACTCTTACCAGCGGCCTTACAAATTCTCCAAATTCGCGCTCTCCGTGGGTGTCATTTCTTCTCAACAACCGATGCCATTGATGCAACCGTGGGTGCTGTTCTCTCTCGACTGTTAAGGGATGCTTCAAATAAGCACAATATTGGTTTTATTTCCATCGCTTCACAGAAGCCGAGCAGGGGTATTCACTGCGAGGAAATGAGTACCCCTGCTTGGAGGTGAAAACATCGAGCACCATTTATATGGACATCATTTTACCGTCTAGACCGACCTTTAGCCCTTCATGTATATCTTACGAAGGTCTTCAGAAAATGTTTTGGCCGCCTGCAGATTCGATTTGGCCTTAAAGGGCCCCCTGACACAATTTTTGAGTGGAAGGATGTGGTGGGCATCATAACTTAGTCCTCAACTCACTCTCCGGTTATCCGTGCACCTCACAATTGTGTAGCTTAACCGCTCCTTTTTATTATCATTCTTGAATTCTATCGACATTGAATGCGCCTTAAGCTTTTGCCACCCAATAATCCTGTAAAACTCTCAAATTTCGGAATGGCAAGAGGATGAAGCTCAATCATGTTGAGAATGTCCTGCTGTGATGCGAAATAAGCCAGAGAATCCGTTGCTTGTGTATTTCAACTTTCCACTGCAGTGGCAGTTTGCACAACGCGAATGGCCATGCCATGAGTTTTTGGCCAAGGTGAGAATCGAGCTACCGAAGTATATCAGACCTTCCGGAGGCTTCGAATACGTTCAGCGCTAGAGGAGAATGCACTTCACTGTCAGCAGCTGAGGCAAAACCAAAAAGCTAAACCCAGCGTTTGCAAAGACTTCTGGCACCCGGAAAATAGTGGGCTTATTCCACTAAACACCTTGTTGTCGTACTGCCGGAAGTCAAGGATCAAGACAGCATCTACGCCGTTGCCGCTCGCTGTAGCGTTGTCATGGCTCAGAAAGAAGAAGAATTATTTTCTCATGCCTGACACTTTCCGTCAGTCCAGAGAAGTATCATAAAAGAGAGTGATACGAAGTTCGTGGATGTGCTGTGGCCATCCTCTATGGCCTGCCTACATGTTGACCAAATAATGATCACTGCGAAACCTGATGCAGATAGTCACACAACGAGTAGACCGTCATTCTTCTAGAGCGCATGGCAAACTATGCTTACCAAATTCCATTTGCTTGGCTTTATTGTTTTCCCTGTGCGAAGAGGCTTTCAATACATCAGGACACTCGTCTATGTGGTGCTCTCCCACTTCCCTGATATACATTCAGGAACCCTTCTCCGACTCGGGCCTGGACCGAGTGATCCGGGGTCAGTAGCCAAAATGAGCAGCAGAGAAAAATAGAGTACACCTAGCCAGCACATGCGACTTTATGCGCACGCCTCAAGAAGAACACGTGAGGGATTATGATGATCGGTAACCCACTGTTGGTTACGATTTCCTTGGTGTTGATAAATCGGCAGGCATTATGAGATGCTCAAACAGGTGAACGGATGAAAAAATTTGCCACCAGGTGGCAAGGGCGTTTGTCATCGTCTCACGAATCAATGCTTTTTCTTACTCTATCGATTTCTCCTAACGGTTGGAGGTGCCACCCATTTAGCAATTTTGGTTACCTCATGTTATTTTCAAGCTCTTCAAATTACTGTCAAGCCTCGCTGCACAGGTCTGTGACCCGTCTAAAGACGCAGAATCCACGGGTGTCTCTAGCTGTCCTGGATTCTAGGGCCCTTGAGCGCTAAGGGCATGCTAGACTGAAGATCCGAGTAAAATGGGATGGGCACAGCCGACCTCGGTGGCTGGTAGCGGAGCAGCTGCAAGTTTCATTGCCTACGGAAGCATAGGTGGCTTTGAAAGGTTCACAACTGTACTCGCCATAGACGCTTCTCCTCGTGTTTTCTGGTAGATGTTCCTCCGCAGCCCATGTGGTGCATAAAATAGCTACCTTCCACTAGGGGTGTTGCTTTTGCAGTTCTCCCATACTATCATCAAGGTGCTCTCTACGCTCAGATTTGTGCGTAGACACACTCATGAATGCCGTTCTTATATTCTTTTTTACGCCTTTTTTGCCTTTTGTGCCAACAATGCTGCATGCTCCGGCTGTCTCCATTTGCATGCAGGGCATGCTCAGTGACGTGCTGAGGCGCTCTGAGTTTGTGTGTATACTTTGCTTCCCTTTGCACATTTTACCTTTCTTCTTTTATCACGTTGCAGGAGGTTCACAGATTTCATCACTCCGAAGACAGGGAGGCACCGCTCCACTGCGGGTGCGCTGGTATCGTCCCTCATCCGCTGTTGGATAATGTGTTTAATTTTGATACTGTTCACTACACTTCACTGATTGATGCTCATTTTACGTTTCTCCTTTGCAGTGCTTCGCATCTCTGCCTGCCTGAGGAGTGGCGATAGAATAGGCAATCTTCTGCTATCTTGCATGTAGTTGATCTCTGCGCACAGGTGCGGGAAAAGAGAGCTAGTGTTTTGAATCATGCGAGAAGATGTGACGGATTAATGTGCAGTTACCTAACTTCTTTCTATTGCGCTATCTATATCCTTGTACGAATCAGCAAGGCAAGGACATGACATTCCTGTAGACCTTATTAAAACCACACAGAAAGCAGCTGGCCGTCCATGCTGTGGCTTTTGCAAACCAAAGTTTCATAATTTTCGGCATACTAATCTACTGGCAAGCTATCGTGCTTTCGTCTTTTTTATTTGACCTTAAGGTTGCAGTCGAGCTGATTTAGGTCTGAAAGATGAGTGAGGGCTTGACTACGGCGTGAGCTATAGTTATCACTATAGGTAGAGGCCTTCTATTACAAGAATAGAGCCACGAGTTGAGTATTAGTCCTTCCAATACGCGTGTTGCAAGAGCACTCCTTTCTCTTAATCTGCGGGCTAGAAAGTGACGTGCCTACCCTGCCGGCTAATCGAAGCCTTCAGTACTTGCTCATCCTTACGGCCATCATGCTGTTCGGTCGGCATCAACTCTTCGACGCTTCCATAAAAACAAGCATCCGCGTAAAAGTCATGGCCTTTTACTAAATGTGGACCTTTATTCAGACCAGCTTGCCGACTGTCCCCTGCAGCCCCATGTGCAACCCTCTGCCTCCATCATTAAGGGGATTTTCCAGTCTGTTGACAACGAAAACAGGTCTTCCGAATCACCAAGTGACTTGGCCTAAACACGGCAATTGTCAAAGAAAAACATGACGTCCTGCTACATCCAAACAGTCAGTGTATGAGTGTGGAACACGTGCATCAAAGCACGCTGTGGTACTACTAACGCTCCATCTATGGCTGCGGTATGAAGGTAATCAACTCCTAACTCAACACAAAGCTGATAGAAGGTTATTGAGAGTCTTCTTAAAAAAGGTCCCTCCTTCCAGTGCTGGCGCATCTCAAATTCCCTGCCAGGGAAAGAGGGACGGCTAGAATGCGCTTTGCACTGAGCATGCACAACTAAGCATGTAACATCAAATGCTTATTTAAAGAACAGTGCTTTTTGTTGTATAGAGCCAAGAGTCGTCTGCAGTAAATAAGGTGTACTAAGAGGCTCACCAATTAGTGAACTCCTTACTAATTCATAGTTAAATGTGACTAATGGTGTAGAAAACACTGAGGTGTAGCTTTGTCCACACCGCACAAGGCATAACTCCAAATCTTTCGTAAAAAGGGGCTGTACTAAATCATGCAAAGTATGCGTATAAATGGCAACATGAAGTAGAAGGTTCTTTAAAAGTGTATTGCGCCGCTCTTCCGGCAACAGCCCTCGGAAGGAATATTGGGCAGTGATTGCGGCTTGACGTGAGGCTACAGCTGGATTAGTTACAGTTTGTGGCTTAGCTGCTGGTCTCTTGATTCGTATCTGTGGCACCAAAGCGAAGGCGCGCAGCCTGAAGAGGCGCAGCCTAATCTCCTTGCAGGGATGCCTTGTGATGTGGGGTAGGGGACCTTTCTCGCATTCGGTATGGTGCACCAGATAGCTACTGACTAATGGAGGATACCTGGGAAGCTCTGCAGAGTTCCTGTGCTAGCCGTGTGCCTCTGGCATTAGGCATGCCGAGCTGAAAGTACGGGCAGCTCCGGCGGCTTTTTCTTCAAACGAGTAGGTAGAGGGAAGGGGGGCACAACCTAATTAAGAGGCCGCCCATCCCCAACTAAGGCAAGCCTTCCTGACTCACGAGCTACAGCAAGAAAAGGGGGGGCATACGGTAAATAGAGAGCGCCGCATGACCAGGAAGATGCATGCAGCTCCTACGGAGAATGCGAACAGTGCCGAGTCGCTCTAGTGAGAGATATTCAACTTTCCCATGGAATGCCTTCAGGAGTCCCTGATTTTAATAATTTAAACACAAGAACCTTTAAGGGACATAGGGGAAAGAACGAAAAAGGGAGCAGAGATCTGCCTGCAGTGCAGCCGACCTATGGCCACTTCACTGGCTGTCCAATGGCCACTTCGTGCACCTGGCATAGTTTTGAGTGTTTCCGCTTCACTTTTAGGTGCTCGAATTTAATGCCTTGCTTTGCTTGGTCTTTTGCATGCTAATTATTGTTTTAAGGCCAAGCAAAAGTTGGATGGAACCGCCCCGTGCTTTCGTTCGCTTGCTGCGCCAAAGTAGGAGCTCGGTAGATGTATAGATCATTGGGAATCGGAATCGTCTATTCGGTGTTTATCTTGGTCTCTCAGTGCTCGACCTCCTTACTTAGGGACGACGTTTGAAGTCCGTGTGCCCTTCCATTTGGCTGGGGCTGAAAGCCTTCTGCAAGGTTCAGGTTGCACCGCGGCGTGTGGGACGTCAAGGAGCTTGCCCCCGTAGGAGCCACGGATCTGCCTTTCCGTGAGTGCGAGGCACGGCAGGGAGATAGTGCCGCCTTCCTCTAGGCCGTTGTTTGCTTCTTCAAGCGCTTGGACTGACAGAGGCCCCAATTCTATACATCCTGTTTTACGGCCTTACCAGCTGTGCTCATCAGCGCCTGCCACCCCCTTCGGACGACTTGCTGACTCTGCCGACATTTCCCAGCAAGACACAATGGCAGATGTAAGACCACAGTTTTCTTCTCACTTGTTGAGTCCCTCTGAAACCCCCGTCCGTGTGCATCCCTCTTGGGGCCTTCTTGTTAACTCGAGGTTATCGATGTCTTTCCTCACTCCAAATGCTGTCCTGGCCTCTGCTAGTCAGTGCCATCTACTCTCTCCCTTTGCGCACAACAGCCCCTCCGGCCGCCTCCCTGCGTAGCTGTGTGCCTCCTATGATTTCTCGGAGTCTCCCTCCTTGTCCGCTTCCCCTTCTCTTTGCTTCACGCTTGCCAGCTACTTCCTTTCCAGCTTCTCTGCTATCCACACATGCGGCCCGGATGAGTGGCCAAGAGCCCTTTCCGCACCCTGCTGGCTCCTCCTTCAGCACACCCTTGAACCCCCTATAATGGCGACTGTGTGTTCTCACACAGGAAGCCGTGGACATCTTTAAGGTCTTTGACAAGGATTTCGACGGAAAGCTTCAGGCACTCGAGATGCATCAGGCACTGGGGGCCGCAGGACTCTGCGCAGCGTGAGGCTTTATGACTGAGGCACTGGGGTTTGGGGCCTCATGCACGGGTGTGCCTTAGGGCTTGAATTTGCCAGTATTCCCTCCAAGGGGAATCACACATGAATCCACGTTTTTCAAGCAGCTGGAAGCCAGGGGGTTAGGTGGCAGTAGCGTTCCGGGGGGGGTGCGGTACGGGAGGACGAGGAAGTGCAGAAATATTAGGCTGAAGAGACGAAGGAAGACGTCAAAGGAGAGGCAGAGACAGATGTAGATCGAGGGCAGCAAGCAAACTGACACACATACACACACACAGAGCCAGACAGGGAGATAGGGTGCTTGCTGCGAGTTTCATTAATCTTATTGGGTGCTTCGTACTTCCCACTCTGCATTGTGAGATAGCCCATCTGCATGGCGATGCAGTCGTGCTATAGCCCTGATTCCCCCATCTCGTTTACTCTCCACTGTCTGCGCTATTTTCTGCTGTTCGCTTGCCTGCAGCATAGAAGATGTGCAGCTGGCTCTCAAGGAAGCGGGGGAAAGCGGGGGCGATTTGCAGTGCTTCCAGAAACTATTGCAGCAATTTCAATCAACAAAACCAACAAGTCAAACCCTACAGCCTCTCTTCAAGGTATGTCTCCCCGCCTAGGTAGCTAGCTGAAGCGAAATATGCGTCCAGCACACCAATTCTTCATCCATCTTGCCCCAAACAATATACCTGTAGACATATGGGGAGGAGATGTGCCTGCATGGAGGTTTTGGCGACCGCCTGTACTCCATGCGCACGCATTTGAAGAATTTCGGTGGACTGCTTTACAGGTTATAGATCCTGCCTCGTCTGGGCGGGTGGACACAAGTGCCCTGAGATATTTACTGATGAATTTCAACGAAAAGCTTTCTGATGCAGAGGCTACAGAGTTTATGGAGTTGCTCAAACTCCCAAAGGAAGGATTGGTAGAGATTGCTGACATTTGCAGCAGGCTGGAGAAGTCTCTACAGTGATGGTATGCGTACCTACCTGCACGCTTGCGGAACTGCAGCAAAGAAATAGACGAACAGGCATGCACATGGCCGCTCCTACATGGATTCCCGAAAGTAGTTGAGCTTGCATGCGTTGGACGCATTGGTCTGGCCGCCTGCAGCCACACACTTTGCAGCAACATAGTTCGCATTTGCATGCATGCAGTGGGGGGCACGCAAGAGAGGCGTCCATGTTTGCACCCACTTCTGGTGCAGAAGAGCTAGCCAACGCATTCTTTTCGCACATGCGTCTGCATGCCCACCACCAGCCTGCTGCATGCAGACCGACCTCCCTGCACTTTCTAAAACGCAACAACGCTTCGGGCTGGGTGTCGTCTAGTGTGCCTGCTGAGGCTCATCAGTCTCCCCTATTGGTGCGCATTCCTCAGCTATGTGGATCGAGAGCAGCGCCCTAACCAGCTGTAGGAGGACAGATAGCAAACAGTTTTTACTGCATTAGTTATGAACTAAGAATTAGTTTGGAGTTGGACAATTTTCCGGGTGTTGACAACTCCCGTTTGTTGCGGAGCAGTGGTCGCCCGTTACAAGAAGATGCAATGCTGTGTACATGCCCACTAGTTGCAATGTGCATCGAGCGCACACCTTCGGAGTTCATTGAGGCAGCAGCAACATGCACCCTAGCTGCTGCGCTACTCCCATTGCGGGAGCACCAAGGGACGTAGGTAGGGGAAGGCAAAAGTTCCTCGTAACTTTTGAGATTAGGGTTGTATGGATTCTAGGGGACGCAGGGAATTTTTGGGTAATTTTACTCAATGTATATTAGGATAGTATGAAGTCTGGAGCTAAACGCATCCTCCCGGAGGCCTCAGACTGAATGTTGCAGTTCATAGAAAATAGAATCATTTGACGCGACTGTTCCCACTACACCAATCTTGGATGTTCCCCCGCTTCAGCAGGAGTCAAGGTACACAGTGCTGCTCTGCCTGTCTAAAGAATCATAGTTCGTGCGTCTCTTTAGAACGCAGATTTCAGACGTAATTACACTGCTCATGTGCTGGTTTGCGATTCGTACAGCCACAAAGCTGAATCATGTGTCCAGGAACGGATGCATAACGAGCGCGGCACTTTTCCGCAAACGGATACAAGCATTAGCGAGGCAGATTCTGGATTTGTTCTACACGGGTAGCTAGACCCGTGATGGCGAAGTACAGCTGGTCAAAGTCTTGCTCTACGCGGCAGTGGCCCCCCGGACGCTCTCTGCTCTGCGCATATGAAGGCCCCAGGAATGCGCTTCAGGTTGATCGCTTGCCCTTAGGGATATCAACTAAAAGAGGCTGTGCTTCTGCGTAGAGGGGTTCTCCACAAACGTATACCGCAGCTCCTTCCGGCGGCAAGAGTCACTTCACATAGAAACAGGTGCAGAGTTAGAACAGTAGTGCAAAAAACGCGAGCTTCCGACAGCAGCAGGATGAACAGAAGCAAAATAAGGTACTTAGGGTGTGTTACTAAATCTTTGGAGTGGTGGAACTTCGGTGTAGGAATTGCAAACCCCACTGGAAGATCGTAAGTCTCCAGGAGGGAGGGCCCGTCATCCACAGCCTCAGGTGTTGGCGTTCCCATTGTTGCTCCTTCTGCTCTTGTTGCTCCCTTCTGAATGTAAAAATCTTCCTGCGGGAGAAATTTATGTGTTCTCTCCCTGCGTCTCCCTAGATCGAGAAGCTTTGAGCCCTAGCATCATGCTGCTGCAGCAAGGCCCAACTTGCCTCCTTGCCTTTTGAAATCTCCTGTTTCGTTCCGCTGCATCCCACGGATTTTCACAAAACGATATATGAAATACCAACAACGCAACACCAGAAGAAGCGTGGCACCGAGTGAACGGGCTTGTGCTGCTTGGCCTTTTCCACACGAGGCCGTCTGCAGGCACTCGAAACAATGCACCTCCAGGAGCATGAGAAGCAACCAGTTGCAGCGGAACCAGCAGGTGCTGCTCAATCAGCAGCACCTGCTGGCTCACGGATGAGTCAGCAGGAACAGCAGCAGCAGCAGCCGCAGCGGATGCCTCGAATGTACAGCACGAGCAGTACAGCTGCTGCTGCCGGTGCCCCACGTGCTTTGGGAAGGAGCACAGACAGCAGCAGCTCGCTGCGGCAGCGATTCTACTGGGATGTGGATAAGGACGAAGTAACTTTTGCGAGCAGCAACACCGACAGCAGCACTAGCACCGCCAAGCTACATGCATCGGCAGAGTTTTCTCAGATGGCGCAGCGAGAAGCAGAGGATCCTCTGCCTTCCCATATTCTGGGGGAAGTTGTTGAGCGCAAGCCTATCACCAGTGGCAGCACCATACCTCCACCCTACACGGGGGGAAGCAGCAAGTTTGCGGCTAGCCGGCATCCTGCCTTTCCTAAGGCCGTTCATCGCAGCATGCAACAGCCACAGAGGCAGCCAGTGTCTGCCGATCCATTTTCCGCTGAAGCAGCAGGAGACTTAGACACTGCGGCTGCGGTGGCACAGGAAGCTGCACGCGCCCTGGGCATCGAGTTAGGCGAAATTCAGCAGGCTCTGCAGCAGGTCAAAGAGAAGATGGGTCCGGAGAAATTCGCATTTCTACAGCGCCGCACGGAGCAGAAGCTGCTTGCGCAGATGCAGCAGCAGCAGCAGTCACAGCCGCAACAGCAGTCACAGCCACAACAGCAGTCACAACAGCAGTCACAGCCACATCCGCAACAGCAGTCGCAGTCACAGCCACAGCAGTCACAGCAGCATATGCGATCAGCGGTGAGTCCTCATGAGCGGCCAAGGGATGCAGAGGAGCAACAGCAGGGCCTTCTTGCGGCCGTAGACGGAGGCGAGGAATTTCTGCGCTACCAAATTACGCTGCAGCGTGCGGCTGGGAGTACACCTGCAGAAGCAGGTGGAGAAGCGCCCGAAGCAAAAATAGTTCATTTGCCCGCAGGTGCTGCGTTTATGTTTGATTCCCGAGAAGCAGCAAAGCTTCAGTGGACGGATCCAGTGCTTGAGGAGGGTCCTGATGCTGCTGCTCTCTTGCAGCAGTACGAAAACCAGAAGAAAGAGCAGCAGTTTGCCGATGCTGCACATGTCCCTCTCCTGCAGCAGCAGCAGCAACAGCTAGCGGCTCTACGGTTCGACTTTAATGGACGTCTGCGCACAGACGTATGGGGGCTACACGCAGCTACAGCTGCAGTCGTGGCGCTCTGGCAGCAGCTTTTACTGCCACAAGAGCAGCACAACCCGCAAAATGCAGTAACTGCTGCTGCTGCTGCTGCTGCGGACGAAGCTGGTGTGTGCGCGTGGCTGACGCCGTCGGATGCTGCAGCAGTAACAACAGCAGCAGAAGCAGCCGCAGCAGCGGCAACAGACCCTCTGGATCGCCACAAGGGACTGCATCACCATGGGCGGCAACCAGAAGCGGCAGGCTACACTTTGGAGGAGTCTGTGATGCTCGCGCACAGTGCGGCACCGGCTCAGCGGGCTTTAGCTGTCCGTACACTCGGTCAGCTGGTGCTTGCTGCAAGGGCATTGTGCCTCTTCCCCAATCCTGCCTTATCTCCTACATCTCCCCCGGGAGAAAAGGGAGAGGCTTTTGCTGCCCTGAGGAAGCTGCTGTCACCCTTGTTGCCTCAACGTCAACCGCAGAACCAACAGCAGTTTGTGCTGCGAGGAGGGTTCGGCTTTGGACTAGGCCGCTTCCTGCGCTTCTTATTTCTGGACGAGCATCTGCTGTTTCGGCTTTGTGGAGCCCTCATGGCGGAGTCTGCTACAGTTGCAGCGGCGGCAGCAGCAAGTGTTGCGAACTTGTTGCTGCCCATCCACCCCACACGCCGTATAGGGCCGTTGAAAGAGCAGCGTCTGCTGCAACTGCTGCTGCAGGAAGAGCAAGCAGCTCCGGACTCAGGTGCTGCTGCGGCGGTGTATCTACCAGCAGTAGACACGAGCCTCTGCTGTGCAGTCGCAAAGCCGTTCCTCTCTTACCTCAGGCGGCACAGAAAAGTGGCGTTAGCGAAACCATCAGCTGGGGATTCGGGAGAGTCAGTAGCAGCAGGAGGCGTCTGCAGCTGTTTTTGGGGCATGTCTGATTCTGTAGCTGCGGACGAGGAGCCTGCACTGTTTCCCCTCGGAGGTGTTGACCTCCTGGGGTGTATGTACGCCTCAAAGCCCCTGTGGCCAGCTGCGGGGGGGGCAGCAGCAGCAGATGCACGCATCTGTTTGGGCCCTGGTAGTGCCTGGGCTGCCCTAGCCACCCGCTGGAAAGATCTTTCACCTCAACAGCAACGGAATTATTTGGACGAGCCGCTGGGAGAGTCCTTTGGAAGACACCCGCATGCAGCGGCAGTAGACTTTGCGCTGCTTCTGCCGCGTGTTGCCATGTTGCTGCGGCGCTGCTGGGGTGTAGCTGACGAAGAGCAGGACCTGGTGCGCTTGCTGTGCGGAATCTGCGTGGGAGGGCCACAGCAGGTTCAGCAAATTCTGCAGCAGCCAGAACTTTTGCAGCAGCTGCTATTGCTGGCAGACGGACTATTGCTGGGGGGGGAGACACGCCGCAGACGTCGGGCTGCAGCGATGAAGCACCTCCTGCCTGTGGCGGAGCCTATACTCAGCAACACCGGTACCACGAGCAACATGGGTGTTTCCGAGGAAGAGACAGATGAGTACAACCTAGACGAGCAGCGATTGGTGTTGCAGCTGCTGCTGCTTCTGCGTATCTGCGCGATCCGCGTGGAACGCATGCAGCATCTGGAATGTCTTTTTGGCTGCCTGGAACTTGAGGGGATCGATGACTCCAGCAGCACCAGCGGCACTACAAGTAGCGTTTTAGGATTGGTGCTTCAGTGCCTTATGACGGTCGTCCAGCAGCCGCAGCTGCAGCTTTTTGAGCCGAAGCAGAAGAAACAGCAGAAACAAGGCCGACAGGAAGATTTGGAGCACTTCGAGCTGCTTCCCGTTCCCTCGGTGCTGCGTATCGCAGCAGCAGCAGCAGCAGCAAGATTGCTGCGGGTTCTGCATCAGAGAGGCAGCTGCGCTGTACCGCTGCAGCCACTGCTGCCTGCATTCGCTGCTCACGTAAAGGCATTTTGTCGGCGGTTGCAGGAGCTCAATGGCCATCTCTTGCTGCAGCAGCTCTCATCGCCCTCAAACGCAGCAGCAGGTCTGTCCACTAGCGCGGACGAGACCTGTTGGTCGTTGTGTATGGAACATTCCCAAACCGGGAGCACCGATGGTGGAGGAAGCGACAGGATAAGAGAAAAAGCGCGCCAGCTGTTGCGGTTTGAAGGCGAACTTGTGCTACAGCTACTCCTATGGGTAGGAGATGCGCTCAGTGCGAGCTTCCTGCAGGTAAGTCTCTTGCTGCTGGTGGGAGTGCTTGCTGGGTCCTACTGTGATTGTTGGAGTCAGCAGTTTGGGTTTGGGGGCATCCTGATGTACTCGTATTTCTGCGGGCTGTTCTTCAGGCTTCACTTCTGCTCTCGGCAGCAAGTGATCTTCTTGCTAGCTTGCAGCCGTTGCAAACTCATGAGCCAGAGTCGTGTAGCAGGCTCGCTACGGCTGCTGTGTGGGTGCTGCTGCGGTGTACGGACGCTGCGCGATGGAGGCACAAGGACGGCACAATCGACGAAGAGGCTCTGGAAGCAGCAGCGTCTGCGCCATGTGATGATCCTGGCGCTGCACTTGCAGCGGCAGCAGCAGCAGCCATCCAGGGAGACACGGAAAAGCTGCTGCTGCTTGAGCGCTGGCGTATCGCAATGGCATCTCCTTTGCACCTGCTGCTGGGACCTCCGGGTGGTGATGTTATTGCAGATTGTGGCAACACCACCTGTAGCTTCAGCAAGATGGGGTACTGGGGTGCAGCACTAAATCGTGTGCTTCTTCTGTTTCAAGGATGCAAAGGAACGGTGGGAGAGCCCCCAAATACACTCCTGAGTACACCAGCAGTGGATGAAACTGCAGAAATGGCGCAAGCGGATTGGGCTGCCACACGTGCTATGCGTTCCGTCGCCGGTGCAGTTTCATCGTACTTGTCCGAGACAGGATGGACGCTCGCCACGCGTTGCTGTTCGCCGCAAACCAGGATGCAGTTTCCCTGCAATTGTGTTGCATGTAAAGGCAGAAGCAGCAGCTCTAAAAAGCCTAACACCACCAGCGGCATGCACTGCAGCAAGGGCGCCGCATGCAGCACCTGGATCATTCCGACGACATCTGAGAGCTTTGCTGTAGTGTCTGCTGATGCGTTTCAGGCCGCACGTGTAGCTGCGGCTGCATCGTTATTGACTGCCTCTGCTGACGCCCCTTCTCATGAAGCTGAGATAGGGGCGTCTTGTCAGCTGCTGGACCCCAGAGGCGTTGAGATGTTGCTTGTAGACGTGCAGCTGCTGCGTGGCATCTGTGAGGCTTTTTCTGCATGCGCAGCCTTGCTTGTCGACGTAGGACAGGAAGTGGATGCCAAGCCTAGCAGCACGAAGGGTGCCAGCGTGGATGGCTGGGGTGTATGGGTTAGAGAATCAAGCGTGCTGTTGAAGCGGCCTCTGGTACAGCGATTTGCTGCTGAGGCAATGGTGCTTGCGAAGAGCCTCACGCTATTACTGGAGACACTCCATGAGAAGCTGCGTATGCCTCAACAACCTCAGCAGCAGCAGGGGCAGCAGCAAGGAGAAAGAGACCTGACGCCCTTTCTTCACTCAGCAGTCATCTCGACAGCTCCAACATTACCACAAGACGATATTGCAGCATGCGCCCTTGCTGCTCTTGACGCTGTATCGATCTGCTTCCGCTACCTTGACTCCGCAGAGATAGAGCCGCGGCAGCAACAAGCGCACCGTGAGCTATCCCTCCGCTGCGTAGTCGCTGCGCTTGCGAACGCAGCAACGACGAAGACGGTGTTGAAAGCATTTGGCCATCTCGGGGTATACCTGCAGCAACATGAATGTGAGAGCAGCAGCAGCGGGGACACAGCAGAGAAGGCCAAGTCCTGCGTGTGGGGGGCAGCAGCAGAGACCATTGTCGGTTGTTCTAATACAGCAGAGTGGGATATGGACAGTGTGCAGCAGCTACACGCTGCACTTACTGCTGCAGCACAGCAGCAGCAGCAGCAGCAGCAGACTCAGGTACCTCTCTTAGTTGCAGACATTGAGCACTATCTGGAACAGGGGAAACAGCACTCAAGGATGACAGAGACGCTAGACTCTGCCCTTTTTGTCTCTGCCATTGACATGATGGCAGGGGCTCCCCTGTGGGGCGCTTTGCTGCGGAACGCAGCCGATCCAGTAGCAGCAGCACGGGGGCGTATCTCAACCAAAGTGACGCAGCATTTGCGGCGGTTGCTGCTTGTACAGTCGGCTGCTCTGGGCCACGCAGTGTCGCGCGTAGCCACACCAGGTTACTGTATGGGGGGTCTGCTTCGTTGTATGCAGCTACAGCAAGAGACTCGGCAATCACAGCAGCAGGGTCAACAGCCCGAGCCGGTTGATATGCCCGGTGATTGGCTTCAGGAGTGGAAGCTGTTCGATGTTTTCCTCTTGCAGCCTATGGGAACTGCATGGGTTGCACCCCTCGCAGCTGAAACAGGGCAGCCATTGGATGCTAACGATTCTGCTGCATATGCAAAGGCCTCTGATTGGAGAAAGGCCATGCAAGCAGCAGCTGATGCCTGTGCAGAAGATGTGGAAAAAGCAGCGGCAGCTGCTGCTGCTGCTAATGCATTGTCCATGCGGCAGTCAGCCGACCGGTTACGCCTAGCAGCGTCCCGGGTAGCAGTAGGAGGCGAAGTGTATATTTGCTGTTGTGAATCAGCAAGCAGCTTTGCAGCACGAGGGGCTTTGGAATTGCTGCAGCAGATGCAGGCCTCAGCAGCTCCCGAGCCTCAGCAATTGTTGTTGTTATTATTGTTGGGAAGCTCCCTTATGCCACGTGCAGCTCGTGAACAGGTGTGGGGAGATGAGGGGGCGTTGGCTGTACTAGACAGAAACTCAGTGCTTCTGGACACCAAAGCAGCAGCCAGTGCAGCAGCAACAGTAGAAGACAGCACGTTCGAGGCAGTGTTGCGTTTCGCGGCTACCATGCAATGGGGATTTCGAACACCTCAGAATGAATGGCAGCTTTGTTGCAGTGCAGCCAGCAACTGTATGCTCATGTTGCTTCTCTGTGGTTTCCACAACGCCACAAAGGACGAAGCCCTCCAGCGACAGCAACGGGCTCACCTGCGGAGGCAGCTAGGGACTAGCGGGGGCCTAGCTTCTGCAGCAGCGGCAGCAGCTATGGCGACGGCAGGTACATGAACTAATTCTCAGTGAGGTAAATACGCTTCGCGCATTAGTGAGAGCTGCTTAAGTCGCTCCATGTGCGAAAGCGACCCATTTGTTCTGACCTGCAGCTTTGCATCCTGCGTTGCCATTAGCCGCAGAATAACATTCGTTTTTGCAAGAACTGGAACCAGTCGGGCAAATTTTGGCTGGCGCATTTCTAGAGTTAGCTTTCGCATTGATGCTGTAGGGTTCGTAGGCGATAGGAGGCGGACTTGAGGATGACAGGAAAAGCACAGCAAGCGATCCGGCAGAGACATGACAAAGCACAGGAGAACGATGAACGCTTGGAAGCAGGTGCATAGAAACGAGATGTGTGTCAATTTTAGTAGAAACATGGAACCGCTATCATGTAATGCAAAATAGGAAAGGTCATGGCGACCAGCAGAAAGGAACAAACAGGAGATCGGGGGCATACTCAGCGGCGGATAAGGAGTCAGAGGTAGTTGGAGAGCCAGAGGGGTATTCAATATTTTTACGCAGACAGAGCAAAAACAGCTGCAAGCGCACAATGAGCACATGCAACGGCGACACCAGTAGTCGCAGTAGGAGATCAGACAGACAGCATATCCGAGGCATTACATTACCTAATGAGAGAAAGGATGCGGCCGTGATTTTGCCATGTGGGCAAAGGAGCTTTCGGTCTTGATGTACAATAAGGTTCTCAACAAGCACGCATCGGCAGGGGGCTCGAAGGTTGGTGAGGTGGGGAGGCCATGGGATAGATGCTAGCGTGTAGTAAACGGCACCTTCAATGGTGAACAAGAGCTTTTCGTGTTTGGCACAATGCTGAATAGCAGCTTCATGCTAACACAGCAGGTACCAAAAGCCTGATGATTGACCACAGCGCATAAAACTACCGTTTCCATGCTCTCCAGAGCAGGAAGTACGCGGCGACAAAGAGCCAGTTCCCAATCACGTGCCCAACTGGACGGCATTTACACTTGGAGCCCGCATCATCCATAATCGGGTATAATTATCTTGTGTAGACTTGTCGGTAGTCACATTTGGCCATTTGCTGCGAGGGCCCAGACGCGTATTCCAGCTTGGTGCTACCACTTGCAATATGTGGATTTAAGGCTACTAGTAAGGCCAAGGGGTAAACCCCGACGGTGTCAATTTGAAAGCAAGATACTTTCCTTACGGTGATACAAGGTGGCTGTTCTATTTGCAGCGGCAGTGTATGCACCCAGAAAATGCGCAGGAGCGACCAAGCAGCACCTTTCCTTGTACAGATAGGGCAAACAACGAGTAAAGCGTGTGCTTACGTTGCACTATGTGCCTACGTCGATCACCTGTTGATCACATCGCACTTCATAGATGAGGATGTACGGCCTCATCCACTCGCTAGGTAACTACTACTAGTGCGCTTCGCTGCACTTCAACACTTTGTGCTAAACAAGTTATGTTTAACAAGAAGTCTAGTTGCTTTGTCTGTTTGCATATCTTATGTTACTGCAGAGTAATGCTAGATTAATACGCGTAGACGCAATCCTGTGGGCCCCTGCTCGATGCCGTGCCCTGTGCACATCTATTGAGCTCTGCAATAGGTTTGTGGTAAACCATACACATACACACAGAGATGCACTGATTGATATTTTAATATCTGCATATCAAGCTCTCGCACCACAATCAATTCTAATAAACAGAACACAGCATACACATAATGATTATATACTAATCCAGAGCTAATCCTTGTACTTCAGCTTCGCGGTTAACCCACCATCCTAGCGTTCCACAGTTATCATTTCTGTGGTAGAAAAAGGACGTAGAATGAGGAGCACGGCCGAATGCACAATGTGCAATGAAAACAACGGCTGTGCTGAGTCATTTACTACAGTTCCCTCCTCTACCATCCTTCTGCTTATCCACAACTCCTTTTACGATCAGTTCCGCAGCCCGGTCTCCGACAATTTGCAGGCGGTTTCATTTCGCCGACGGAGACGGGAATGTGCTGAGCTCTATGTCACGCCTTCAGAAAGAATTTGGGCGACCTGGAAAACGTATGAAATGGCAAAGGGAGAAGCGCAGGTTTCTACGGAATAGATGTTATCCTGGTCGCCTTCCATGCAGGGGAAATCTTCACTTGTGGAAGAGCACAACTAGGGAGTACTGCTCGCTGCATTTCCAAGAGTAGTAGGCGGTTGAGACGAAAAGCACCGAGCAGATGCATGTATGGTGTATTCGGAGACAAATAAAAGGTTCCTACTCCGCAGAGGATACAGTGCACGGGCTTGCAGGTCGTGAGGCTTGCCATGAATAATTCATTACATAGGCAAGCCAGTCTCACGCGAGCAGTCTAAACCCAACATTATGCGCTTAATGGCCACATTCTTGAATTGGCGGACACGAAAGGCGACTTGTATTTTGTTAACGGCCTGCCGTGAGGAGCCTGAGGGAGGTGCTTTACGCTCTTGCCTTTGAACCAGGCTAGCTAAACTTTTTCGCAGCAAGGCGCCTACTTGCTTGCCCTTACGCGAGCCAGCTAGCGACCTAGCTGCTAGCAAATTTACAGCTATCACGGCAGCGTCTAGCGGATACATGGATATCTAGAGAGCAGCCTACTTAACAGCCAGCAGCTCATGCTATGTGTCACAGAAATGCTAGTATTGGTGTGCAATTGCCCAAATCAAATAGAAAGCACAACTGAACCAATCCGCTGGCTGTTTGCCGTCTGGAATAGGTTTGTACAAAAGGTAGTCGCCCATCCCGTGGATTTACGGTATGGCATTACGGTTGGGGGTCAAGAGTCCAGGCGTCAATCTGTGTGGTGTCGTTGGGGTCTACAAGAGGCACATGGATGGAGCGAATCATCAAGCTGCCGCAAAGAGGGCATTCCCGGGACAAGAAGCCGTCAACGGCGCTGCTCAACAAGCACAGACTTAGAAGTGACGACCCTAAAGTCCGAATTCTACACGCTAAAAGTCAGAGTCGTGCAGCAAAGCTGTATCTACGCTTGATCACAGTATTCTTTGAAGGCCGCCCCACCACACGGTGAGCAGCTTACAACCGACGCCTTAAGGCACTACACTATATGGTTTAGAGCTTTCTGACTGACTCTTCCAGCGCCTCAATGTTGGATGAATTCTCCTGCATCGCGACTGCAAGAGCTTCAACACTGCGGTCAAACCTCGAAAGTTCCTCGGGGCCTGCACACACCTATGGTAGACACTATGAACCGTTCAGCCCCGACAAAGCGCTTAACGCATCCCTTTCGGAAGACTCAGAGCCATTAAATAGCATGTCCTAATCGACGCTCCACTGAGGGCATCCCTCCTGACGAGGCAGACTAGAATTTGGGTTGGTGGCTTGGGCTACGGAGTGTACTCATGGCAGGGATCTGGAGAGCCTGAACACAGGTCGCGTGCATGCAGTGACCACATCGAAAGGCAAAGAATTTGCTGCAAATGACGGCCGCTCCGCAGAGATCGCACAGGTGATCCGCGTCGATCAACACGCATCTGCACAAAAATGCAAAAACACCTTTCCAACCCTTGGGCTGCGAACTTGGAAGCATCAAGAAGGGGCACAAGAAGCTGAAGGAAATAAGGAAATCGCAAAACGAAGCCCCAATACCCCAAACTCCAAGTGAACATCGCGTATCCCTATATACGGTCCTCCTGAGGACTTTTACATCGTAAATTATCGTTGAGAATCCGTACTTTTGGTTAACGGCTTGCAGCTGATCTTTGAGGTCTCGGATAGCAACAAGGTGCTGCTGCAGGGCATTGTTGCTGCTGCTGCTGCTACGCTGAGCTGATGCTGCTGCTTCCCGCAAGGCAGGACCCACATCTCGCAGCAAAGCTGCATCCGGCAGCAGTGGAAGCAAGTCCTAGACACCGCAGGCAGTGAATCCCAGATACAGTAGCACTGAAGTTATGAAGCAGAAGGAAGCCTAGTACGGACCACACCGTAAATCGCCTTCAACGTATAGCACAATCCAACACTAACCCAACGCCCTAGCCTCGAACCTGTATCTTAATGCAGTGCTTGGATCGCTCCACGAGAGCCAGCAAGGAAGCAACATCTTCCCGTTCCCCCTACAGCATTCAAAGAAAGGATGCACCAAAGCTCCGAGCCTTAAGCCGCATGCTAAGGCGTATGGCCCCTGTTGGTCTGCACGTCCATCTAGCGCTGCCGCAGTTTTTTACAGGACGGCATAAGGCTAAATCCAAAACTTAGCGCACACCGATACTGCACACGCTTGCTATGACATCCACCAACACCCCGACTGGGCTCCTCCGAGACTAATCACGTGTAGCAGAGTTCGCTGGGGCTTGCATGTGCTAACACGATTTCGGATGGCACTAGAATTAAAGTCTGTATAATACGGTCTGAGCTTGTGCCGTGTGAGTGGGGCACTTTGGGCATACTATGTAGCGGCAGATATCCAGCCACAAGTTTCTTTTAAGAACTTCATCTCCACAGTTCGATGCTGCCTCCTCCGCCAGGGGAACGTCGGCGGCATCCAACGCCATGCGCACTGCTTCCTAAAGCGCAAACTCTAACTTGCAAGCCCCAGATCTTCCACGTTTATGAACAAGTGCTGATGCTGCAAAGGATGAAGAAAAGCCTTCAGTCTATGAATGGCAGAATATCTGTAGTGACCGCCTATTATTCAAAACGGATTCGCATAGGCCGAACCTTGAAGCCTTTGACTTGCCTGATAGCGCTTGAGGTGAACATACAATAAGATGACTCCCCGGCGCCTGTTTTTCTCTTGGCAGTGGCGCAGACACAACAGCGCGTCGAACCCTCCACCACCGTTCCCCTGCACCACAAAAAATAGCTCATCTTTGATCCTAAAGCTTCAAAGCATCAAGTCTAGTCTGTGCTCTATGGCATCTGGTGCATACCACGGGGCAGCCAGTTATTCAGAGTGCAGGGATGCACTCTGCTTTCTTTGGTGCTGAAAGCCTAGGGGCTTGATTACCTGCGTGGCGATAACAGACGTTAGATCCTCCTCTGAGACATCGGGAGCCTCAGCAAGCAATAGCAAGAGCGCTGTGCTCACGCCTGCTGAAGAGGCCCAGCTGCAACTGCCAGTGCCGCTGGCGTTGCTGCTGCTGCTGGCGGGAGCCCCACTCGCGGACAGTGCGCTTCCCTTCACAAAAGGAAATGCCATACCTACACATAACCGTACACCCTAATCATCAAACACCTCAGACAAAAACGACTAGAAACAAATACAGACAGACCAAGCGCAAAGTCGTAAACAGCAGTTCTAGCCCGTCCATCTCCGTGTAATATACTCACCGGGTTTGTTCATATGGGCCTCCGTGAAGTGTTTGGCGAGTTGCACGGCGGCTCTCCAGCACGCGTAACTTCTAGTGCTGCTCTGCGGCTGCAGCTTTTCTTGTTGCTGCTGATCGCGCTGCAGCATGGTGATTGGTAAAAGCAGCGCCGGCAGCAAGCGCCAAGGCTCCAATGTGGCCAGCTCAGGTCTCTTCGCCGCAGCAGCAAAATGCTGTGGGCGATGAAGCAGTAACAACGGGGCATACGACACAAACAGGCTGTTGCGAATCTCGATGTTCTGGATAGCCAGAATTGCGTCTGCGCATGCGCACAATTCCCTGAACCCTATGCTATATATATATATCCTTAGTCAACCGGAGAAACTCCATAAACATGTGGGTGCATTAAAAACAAGATCTCGAGTGTACATCCACCCTTCTTCGTAGGATGGACTACTCTGCTGCGCCTGAACAAATATGAACGGCGGCCATCGCGCGCCAGATAGAGGCTTCGCCATGCAAAAGGCTTACCGAGTGCGTCTCGGTATTGCGCAGAATTCAGAAAGAGGCGAGCGCATGTCTCCTCATCACCCCGCATCAGCAGAAAGTCTCGCAGCAAGCCAGTACGGCCGCTGCTCTGCAACAAGCTCACCACTGTGCCCTGCAGCAGCAGCAACAGCAACCGCTGCAGAACAGCCCTTAGCACAACAGCGGTGCAACAGCAAGAACACCTCTCCCCTTCTCAGTGCCTCAGCAAAATAACGCAAGATTCACGGACGTGTTTGCGACGCTGTGTCTGCATACGCAACTGAAGCTGTTGTGCGCAGCTTTAAATTTGCGTCTCTCAGGGTTTGGAATGTACATGTAACTCGTCAACATGCTTAAACTCGGTGAGAAGATGCCGGATTTCTTGCTGTGTCCGCTGCAGGGCCTCCCCTAGCGCAGCTTCATTGCTGCTGCCACCAGTCGCTACTGAGGGTTCTAGTGCTACATTTGTTTCTGCCGCTGCTGCCGATGTTTTTGGTGGAAGTGGGGGCGAGGCAGCTCGCAAGGCTTCAGCATCTATGGAATTAAGCTGTTGCAGCAGCAGCCGCAACAGCCACGTAAATAAGACCACCTGCTGTGGAGATGGTCGGTGTCCTGGCGCAAGGCTGAGAGCGAAGATTTTCGAATACGCATACATACAGACAGATAGGGATACCCTATAGCGTGAACCTGACAAGGTGCACAGCGCTTAAAGCTATTCTAGGCAAGCGCTGCCTCGAGTTCAACCCCCTCGCCGGTAAATTTATAAGCCCTGCACTCTGAGGCGTCAAGAAAAAAAGCTCACTACTGGTACGTCTTGTGTAGCACTTTTTGTCTTGGTCCCGTGTCAGCGAGCTGCTGCAGCTTGGCTGCAACATACACTCGCAGTGCATGGAGGAGCTGCTGCTGCTGCTGGGGGAGCTGCTGTTGCAGCTGCAGCAGCAAGCAGCATGCGTCATCGAATCCGACTGTGTAGCAGCACGCGAGGGCTGCTGCTGCGGCCACCCACTGCTGTTGTTGCAGCAGCTGCCGAGCCTTGCTCCGCTGCACTATCTCCCGCTGCTGCGTTGTGTTGCATGCTGCCAGGGCTCCCGTGTAATCCTCTAAACGCAAACTCTCAGCCATTAATCGCACAACGTACGTCGTGAAACAGTTGTATGGATGTGACGGCGAGAAAGGAAGTACGAACGCGCGAAAGGCGGCCAGCTGAGGTACACCTGTGGAATCTTTTGAGTGGAGTCACTGAAATAGGGTCGAATTATTACTACTTACGGCTAGCCAGAAGCAGCTCCCAGACGTTGGCGTCTTCGTGTCGCAGCAGGAGGTGGGCAGCAAATTCTGTGGTCAGCAGCACCAAGCCCTTGCTGCTGCTGCTGCTGCTGTTGTTGCTGCTGCAAATGCTGCTGGTGTCATGCAGGAGCTGGAGGGCCTTGCCATATAAATGTTGAGGCAGGGGAAGAGACATGCTCTGAGGAGATACGCAAGCCACAAGCCCTACAACCTCACCTCTGGACAGCGTATTCTCCTCACGGAGATAGGTTGTGCACATAAGGGGTGTTGCTGCTAGAAACAGAGGGGCTAGAATTTCGCGGGAAGTGTGGTGTGCTTGGCACGCAGGCCCCCAGACGCGTGTGTTAAGGTTTAAGGGTAGATGGCTCGCTGTACATATTGTCTAGAAATCTTGGAGTAAGCTACAATGCAGTGCTCGAACAGAAAGAGGAAGTGCCGGGATGTGGCAACGAAGGCCAGAGGTACGGGGCCGTGCTGCGGGTTAAGGGCGTCTTTCGCTGCTACTGCTGCATCTGCTGCTGCTGCTGCTGCTGCTGTACTGTTGCTGCTTGCAGCAGCTACTAAAGGGGCAGCGGGCAGCAAAACAACTTCGGGGGGAAACGACAGCAAATTTCCGCCGCTACCGGCTGCTGCTAGGGATGCTGGTGCTGCTGGCAGCCGCAGCTCCCCAATGAGCAAGCCCATGCTGAACCGCAAACAAATCATCGCGGACTCCCAGACCCTTAGATACCGTTTCAATCCCGATCCGCTAGAGAGCATGCAGCGAAAGCCCTACGGCTTCGAATTTAGGCTTACGGTGTCAGCCAGTACACTGTGAATACCGCCGTCTGAGGATCTGTGCTGCTGGTACGGTCAACAGCAAGAGAGCTGGATGCATTCGCTGTTGCAGCAGGACCGGCAGCAGAGCCCGATGAGACTTCATAGGCCACTGCTTCGGAGAGTGCAGCGGGGGGATTCTTGTTGGGATTGCTGCTAAAGGCAGCAGCAACGCCACCAACGCCCTGAAAACATAGCAACTCGGAATCCGTTGCGACGAGAACAGCAACACAGCTCTCGGATCCAGCCTGCACAGACACCACACCCCTAGTACCGGAAACACCCGCGTACGTTCGTACAGACAGACAGCAAGGCGCACTTCACTTTCGCCAGAAGACTGCGCGGCGGCAGCCCAAGGACGCCTGCAGGAAACACCTTGTCACTAGAGCAGCAGCTTCAGCAGCAGCAGCAGTTACTGACCCCCACTGAAACTACGGAAATATCAAGGGCTGGAGATGATTTAGGCAGCTGCATCAGCAGCCGGAGGTGCCGCTCTTTCCCGCCGGCAACAGTGCACTCCATGATGCAGCCGCAACGCGTTCCTGAAGCAGCATCACCCCAAAGTGCGAGAAGCTGCACACTAAGGCCAGCAGAGACACGAATAGAGAGAGATTCAAAATGAGACAGGGTGAAAGAAACAGAGAGAGCGAGAGAGAGAGAGAGAGAAAGAAAGAGAGAGAAACAACAACAGCTGCAGCGGTAGGCGGCATGACAGACACACATGAGCAGACGCAACACCCACCCTACCAGCCCTCAACCTTACCCAGAAGAAAAGTGCCGGTAGACTCATCTCCAGTGTCAGGTCTCCAACAAATGCATTCGAGGATCTTCCCCTTGAGCCGCTGCAGCGGAACTGCCGTCCGCGTGGCTCGGTGGACATACACCGTCACTCCGTTCGCTGCTGCCGCAACCAGGTGTGCCCCGGAGGGCGACAAGAACAAACGACGCAGCTGCAGCTGCTCTGCGACACAGATAAACGAGCTCGAGTCATGCAGGCAGCGCTTGTCAGGCCACAAACACACTGCAAATCCCTAACCCGACGCCCTCGAAAAGCGAAAGTCGTTAATCTAGAGGCAGTCAAGGCACTAGACTGCCGCGCAACAGCCTACACACAAACATCCACCACACCATCAAGCCCCAAAGCGCCTACCCTTAAAAGTGGGGAACTCTATTGTCTGCACTTGTTGGCCGTCCCCGTCTGTCCTAATGAGGGAGCCATCCACTGTAGCGATGTACGTACACCCGGCGGCAGTTGCAGCGGCAGCAGCACCGCCCTTCGCATGTAGTGAAGGCGGGCCCCCGCCACCTAAACGCAGGATCCGCAGCTGCAGCGACGGCGCCTCACTGCTGCTGCTGTTGTGCGGCTGGATCGGGGCAGTGCCAGAGGCCAAGCCGCTACTGTCCGTATCAGGGCCCTTGGGGGCCCCCAAAGCACCGCCTCCCCAGCCAGCAGCCAACATTTTCCCTGGTTTGCCTGATTTCGCTGCGGTCTCTGGTGTCGCTGCTGCGCTACGGCTGCCTCTGCTCCGTCGGTGACCGCTGAGACAGCAAATTAGCCAGCGGATCGATACATTGCATGCATGAGCATTTCCTCGTGTTAGTGGGGGAAGATAAGAGCTAAGCGCTCTGTGTTTGAGACTATGAGAAGAAGTTTAGGCATTAGGAGCGGCCGAACATGAAAGACACACTTCCTCTCGCTCTTGCTGCTACTGGTTCACGACTCGCAGCAGCAACGAGCATGACCTGCAGGATACGTAGAGCGTCGGTGTAGAGAGAAATTGGAAGCGCTTGAGAGCTCTTAAATACAGCTTATGGCAAAGCGTTTTCGGTTTAGGGCATGGCGATGCCGTAAAAACGGCTTGCAGGCGTCGTCCGCCTCCTTGGGGCTGCAGCAGCATCACCCAAGTGTTGCTAGAAGCCTGTGTTTGTTTTCCTTTTTAGGCTATGGCAAAATTGTTGAGGGTAAGGGTTCCAAAAATTCGGTTTGGAGCTTCTAGAAAAGCGATCGGTGTTCAGGTGGGTGGCTCACTCTGCTGTGGTGGGGTTGGTGGTGCTTGCTCTTCGCATAAGGAGGCATTCGGTGCTTCCTGTTTTGGCGTTTGAAGTCTAGATCCTGAAGAATACCAGAAAGTAAGAGCCACTGTCTAGGTACCAGGCTCTACGGCTGACACAATGGAAGAAGCCACGGCGGTGCTGCAAAGTTTGTTGGAGGACTCCGGGCATGAAGTAAGAAGGGATGATCAAGAGCAAAGGCAGCAGCTGCAGCAGGAGCTGTAACAACCCCAAATGCATGCACGGTAGCGCAAATAGCAGCTTCTTCAGCATGAGCAGTACCACCCAATAGAGCACAAGCTGAAGAAACCGTAGAGATAGCAGCACCGGCAGTGAGGTTTAGGGCTTGGGTGGGATGAGTGTCCATGTTTTACTTATTTAGGTGACCGCCATCACTTTGAGTGTCGAGCTTCAAGTGCCTCTCATCACAGCTAGAAAGTAATGACCCCTAAGCTCCTTATTATTCGTGCTGCCGAGAGGCGCACCCACCCAGCACCGCTTGCTGCGAGCGCCTCAAAGTTGTGCATGCCCTTTCCCATATTCTGCCACAGCTTCTTGGCACACGTTCTGTGCACACCCTGCTTTCATGTGTCAATTTGCGTGTGCTTCTCGCGACTGCGGGGCGGTGCTGCTGCAGGCTGCTGTATGCACACGTGCAGCAAAGGCTACAGCAGGGCGAACCATTCTTCGTCTCTTTTGCAGGAACTGACGAAGAAGGGATTACTCTTCACAGTACGTCCGCTGTTTGAGCAGGCGTAGGGTTTGTCGCCGATCCGTCTGATGGGCCAGTCCCTGCTAGCGGTATTTAGATGGCAGCTAGCCAAGATGAGGGCTTGTGCGTCTGCAGGAGTTCTCCTTTCCAGCCCCACGATGCCCCCCCTAGAGTGCCTTTACAGCGCGCAGCTTGCGGCAGTGGGAGAAGCAGAAGGAACCGAAGCAGCTAAAGGCACGATCTCGTGCTGCCGCAAAGATGGGCCTCGACAGTTGGAAGTGGCGCACCTATCGTGGCAGATGGAGTGCCGCGCTCTTGCTGCCGCCTTCTCCTCTCAACTTCAGCTCCAACAACAGAAGCCGCAGCATCAGCAGCAGCTCTTTGTGCCCCCTTTCGCTTCAGTGCGACTCCAACGCCTGATGCGCAGGAATACGAGCCGCGCAGCCACCCCAGCAGCAACGGTCGCTGCTGTTGCTGCAACGGCAGCAGCGGCGGCTCGCAAGGCTCATTCTACTCTACCCAAACAACAGACACAGCAGAAGTCACAGACAGCAAAAGCAGCACCAGAACGCAGCAATACCAACAGGCCCGAGATATCTCAGCTCAAAGCAAAGCAGCCGGACATAAACAGGATGCTGCAGAAGCGCCCCACTGCAAAAGCTGCGGCCGCTGCCTCCTCAGGAACTGCTGCCGCCTCACCACCTGCTCATGAGCCGTCTACCGCAGGAGCATCCCCACAACCACCATCACAGGCACAACAACC